TACGCCCCTCCGTCTAACTCGGCTCCTGGGCCACGTAGCGACACGCGGTAAGCGACAATCGAAAGAGCGTCAAAAATAAGGAGGAAAACACTCGGTCATTTTAAGGTCAGGGCAAAGGTCAGGTCACCAGGGTTCATCAAAGGTCAACTTTGTTGATTTCAACGATTTCGAACACCCGACGGCTAACTCGGGAACCAATAGAGCTACAGCGCCGCGGAAAAGCGCATTCGATAGCTCTTTTAACGCTTTTTCGCCAACATGTCCTCAAATTTGACCTTAGATCAACGGTTTAGCCCCAGAGGGCACCGCTCTGATTGACCTCAAATTTGACCTCAGATCAACGGTGTTTTCACCGCTCTAGCACGTCTCTGTCAAAAGTCAAAAAACTGCTGAAGACCTTTCATGTCCTAAAATGACCTCAGGGGCACACACAGGGGTCACAGGTGCAATTTTCCGATTCAGTGTGTCATGCTTACCTATGGACCGATGTTTGAGAGGGTGTAGAACGAAATTCGTCCAAAAGAGGCGCATTTCAATTTTCTCCCATTGACTTATACCTAATGGAGCAGTCGCAAAACTGACCTGACCTTAGGTCACAGACATAAAAATCCGAGGTATCCATTTTATACATTCTGTTACCCTAAGCAATTACTGAAAGTTTTAAAGTGATCGCTCAGTCGGTGTAGCTACAACGAGCTTTCGATTTTTTTTTTCTGAGGTAAGGTCACTTGACGTTACCTGGTGACCTGACCTTGAATGACGCTACGCGTCGCGTCACCGTTTTTGAGATATTCGCGAAAAACCTGAGAGGGAAGGGCGTAAAAACGCCCCCCCCCCCCTCCCCCCAGCACGGCGCGGGTGGTCGACATAGCGACTCGGACTGAACAAATGCCTTTAACGTTTCAACGGTTGAATAAGGTGAGAGGATTGAGGTAGGCATGTATCGGATTTTCTTCTGCTTGTCGGTAGTTTAGGTTGAAGTTAATTTCGCGAGCTGTCCATAATCATTCAAGAGGGAAAATTCAGCTGCACATCGTTCGGGTCAAAGTAATACCAAACATTCTCAAATTTTGTAGTAAAGAGCCAGTAGTCTACGAATATATTCAAAAAACAATTAGAAAAAGAATAAGCGGACCGGTTTCGTCTATCAAAGACTTCTTCAGCGCTTTTTTCAAAAACGTATAAGAAGAAAACTAGCACAGTGACAATCGTTTGAAATAAAATTGGATTCAGTAAGAACTAAGAACTTCATTGTCCGAAAACCGCTGACAGTTGATAGCTCAATGACACTTAGAGCCGTGCATAAGGATGCGTGAAAACACTCCTCATCTCGTTCTATTACGAGGGGACCATGTCATGGCGTGAGAAAGGTGTTCTCAAAATAAATGACACTGTATGAGTGAATAAATATTCCGCGCCCCCTTGGGCTATTGGCGGACCCTACCACCTGATCGGGTGGTGCAGCCGTTTCGCCCTCCACCTGAGATCTCGGAAAGTTACCGACCGATTTTAAACATTCAAAGAGCGTTCGATAGCCCCACCAGGGAACTAACTTGTTACCAGGTTTCGTTGACCTAGGTGCAACCCATGACGTCACAAGTCAGGTCAAAGGTCACATTTTTTCACCGATTTAGTCTAAGGAATGCGTTACAGTCAGTTAACACATCAAATAAAAGGCATTGTTATCGAAAAACATCGATGGAGCGTTGGTTGTCTAATACATATGTTGCCTAAAGAGGTCATTGATGCCAGGTCAGTTCACAGGGGTCAGGTCACTAAGGGTCACAATATGAACCCAACTATGCTAGGGTCGTGTGATACATGTTTTATGGCCAATTTTACATTTAAAATTCAATGGTGTGAGCTAGACGGACATTGGGGCCAGTTAAGATTACATTCTGGTGGAGGTCAGGTCAAGGTCAGGTCAAAGTTGGTCAAATTTCAAAGTTGATATTTTGCATAAAAGGGGTATCTATTCGATGTAGCTCATCACAGGAAATCCAATGGTGGCCTTTGGCTTGCTTTGTGTGTTCTGTGACGGCTAAAAATTGAATTGGAAAATTTTACGTAATAAATTTGAGCAGTTTTTTTTTGCCATAGCTTTGCTTAAAATAGAGCTATCGAGTTTAAGTTTGGCATATCTAGAGCAGATAGTTCTATAACATATATTTCAGTTTTAATGTTGAAAGCTGTTGGTATTTTCGGGGTGTTATACTTCTATAGTTTTGATGGACAAAATCAATTTTTGTTTGGAAATAAAAGTTAGCAGTTTGGTAGCGCTGTTTATTTTACATCTTTTTTATCTTGAATACCTATATTTCGTTATCTTCAAAACTGTAAGCGTGACAGCTCTTCCCGCTAAACCTTTTATTGGGTCGAAAATGCAGCAATATGGCATCCCTCTGACGTCATTTGTGACTAGCCTTTCATAAGAGCTCTAGAAAATTTTGGTCACAAGGTGTAAAAATGATGCCTGGATGGGTCTTGAAAGTTTGGTGGCGACATTTGCTATACTTTAGGAAATATCGACTGAAAAGGAGAGAGGGGGCCGTTTCGCGCCGCCCTCCCCCTCAACGGGGCTTTCAGTTGCTGCTCTCACAGAACTCTTGGTTATACATATTACAACGTAGTGGAATTGCAAGTGGCAATATAAGCTTCCTGCCAGCGCCGGACCAGAGTTTAAACATGCAGGCTGAATTTTAACATTTAACTTTTGAATTTTTAAACCGTTGAGCTTTTAAGAAGTTGTATGAACTGTTCAGCTCCTTTTTTGGTCCATCACAGCGGGCTTGTATGTCATTTGTCAACCAAAATCGAATTAAAAACTTTTTATTTGGTCTGGCTACCTCGCCAACTTCTTAACTGGATCGTTTAGTAGCTTTTGATTGGGCACTGCCCACGTTGTCACCGGCGGATGACCTCTGACCCCGGCGACCTGACCCCAGCCGACCGATCGCGTCCCTCTCCACGCCTCCGCCCCGCTTCCCCCACTACAGCTGCGTAGTAATTGTAGCGTGTGCAAAGGTCATGTGACATTATTTACTTCTACGGCTTGTTCGGCTGACAAGAGATGGCACTAGTGGTCTGTGGATCAGAGGCGGGGCTAGGTTCTACGACTTCTTGGGGCACACTTTAGGGCAGAAAAGAGTTTTCTTTGCTCCCCATCCCAAAATGCTTCGAATATACAAAAACAAGTTAGATATTCGAAAATCGGAGGACCAAACGGATCGTTTGACGTATCTTGCGCGACTGACAATTGATCGGTCTTCAAACTACTGAACAAAAACAAGGTGATAAGTAGCAAGTGCTGGTGACCGTACATTAGTGAAAACATGTGAAAATAAAGACAAGTCGACAAGGTTTTCGATAAACCAGTAACCTATTATTTTTTGGTATCTAAAGCCTCATAGCTACGACTCCCGCTGCCATAGCGGCTCTGGCCAGCGCGGTAACCTGCGTCACCGTTTCGGTCGACTGACGGTTGGACCGGGCTGGGTCCGATCTCTGACTGCCATAAATCTGTGACGCTTGTTTTGAATGAATAAAGTCGGTGGCATGCCGTCCAACCATCGATCAGCCGAGATTTGGAGGTCGTAAATCAGCGACATGTCACCGCAACTGAACGACAGTGACTCGCAACTCGCATGGCAACTTGGAGAGTCGGGCGGGACTCTGAGACTCGCCCCTTGACTCGGCGGCTTCTTTTAAAAAGGTCAGTTTCCTTGGCAACCTTTATAAAATTAGAGCGTCTATTCGAACTTGGATGTCACAACTCTCACAAGTGTCCTGCTACAATGCTTTTCCAGCAAAGTGCTCATCGATTTATTGCGACTTTCGCCGCCCAGGCAAACGCGAAACAACGGATTTTAGAATGCCTAGACCAAGATCAACGCTGCAGATAGTCGAGCATCGTTGACATCGTCCATTTTATGCAAGTTTTAAGAGATGGATACGTCATCTGCATTCAAAATATCTTTCGACCTGCGGTCGACATGATTTATATCCACGCGACTGTCTCAGCGCGATAGACAACCAATCAATCACCTGTGTCCCACATCACTGCGCCGTGCGTATACCGTTCCTTTGTCCAGTTCCTCCGCCGGTCGCCCCGGCCGGTGGAGCGGCGCCCTGTCGCTCCCGATCCCTCCCCCGGAGCTGTGGACAGCGTGGATGAATGGGAGCAGGTCCGACCCGCCACCCGGGCCCACCGATTGACCTGTTTGTCGACACATCACGCGCCGGGACGCAGACTTCCGGCTCTGCTTCTGTGTGCGTGCCGGACGCCGGGGGGGGGGGGGGGGGGGGAGGGGGCGCGTGTGTGCCGGTCAGTAATCGGTCATCGACGTGACACGCATGTCCGCGATGGTTCGTAAGCACTAAGCAAGGAGGTTGATCGTAATGCAGCGACTCGCTTGCGATGCATACTGTTTAGAAGGCCCTTCTTTAGAAACCTCTTTACATGACTTTGTTGATTCGTGAATTTCTTTCCATGACTCAGACGGAGTTATTGTCTGCTGGCCTGCTGAAATGCTAACATTTGACAGATCTATCTGAAACGCTCCCCGAACCTGCCCACTGCAACGAGAAACGGAAGCGCCAAAGTCAACCGTTATTCCTTTCATACAGGTACAGCGCTGTCTGAAGCTGCCCGTTTATTTTCCTGTAAGGTCTGCGTTCACTGGTCGTATAGTCGAACGATCAAGGCCGTTTATTGTGCCTTCTGTTGAGAAAGCAACGCTATGAATCCCATGAGCATGAGCTGGCACACGATGGAAAATATGGACGTGACCGTGAGCCTTCGTCATGACCTCATCCCGGCCCCAGGGAATTATCGCTCGGAAACCGCCGGGCAAAGGTTGCCAAGTCTTCCGGCCGACGTAAGTAACTGTCAGATGTAAGTTTAAGCACAGCGGGTCTTTGCTTGGACTGTCTTGCCGAAAAGACGGTTAATTCGTAATCGTCCTGGCAGTTCTTTGACGTGTGGTTTTGTCTTATTCCAGGGACCTGAGCGGGAACGAGTTGTCGGTACTGGGAAGGAGAGCCTTCACTCATCTCCACAGTCTGCGAACCCTGTGAGTATGAACTATGAAGAGCGCATCGAACATTGTCATTTAACTATCACTACACAATACACATCTGGGCTCTGATCATCTTGCTGCAATAGCAGCAACGTCAACATCCTCCAGATGCTGCTACGGTATCCTGTTGCCATAGCAGGATGATCTTCAAACGGTCCATTGCATACCCATTGCCCATTGTCCATCCTTTGCGGGGCTGGAAAACGCATGGCCGATAGCTCTGTGGCTGCAGTCCCATCCCGATGTAAATATATGGCCGATCACTGGGATAGCATCAACCACTGTCGTCTGCCAACCTGGGTCGGGGGCTGGTCTGCACCAGGGGTCAGGAGAGGCGTGGGACCGCGCTCTTCTGGCATACATTTACCCGACTGAGATTTGGTTTGGGTGATGGAAACGTGGAAGTCCAGTCTTAAGCAGGCAGCTGGCCAGTCTGCAGGTTTCTTTGGTCTGTATGGCCAGGTCGGCCGGACAGGGATCTCTGTGTGACTGTCAGACAGGCACAGGACAAAACCAACACGATGCTAACAGATCGTACTGTCCTGACAGTTCTGACCTTGGCTGGGCGATCTGCGGCTGATCCCACATCCTCCACGTCAGCCGCCGGCGGTCAGATCCTCCACTGCCAGTCACTGTGGCCGTCAGCGTCGGTCATTGTGACCGTCAGAGCCGTGACCGGAGCTGACATCGATTCCGATAGGCACCGTCAGCCTGCCCTCACCGCTGCTTAGATAAGCCCCTGATCCGGGCCGTCCGACTGTCCCCAAAGCAACCGTAACTCCTACAGTAAGCCGAGGTCGCGTACCCTTTAGAACTATACCACTTCCCCAGCAGCCCTTTCTTTTCCGTTCCATCCCTATCGCTGAGTTCTGTCCAGGCTTATCCCACATGCCTCCGCTTCACCGAAATCACCCAATCTCTTCATCTGGCGGCCGGCCTGCCCAAACGCGTCATAAGTGGCACCGTTTTGGCAACCTGTTCGGGGCGTCCATTGTGCGGCATTGTTGTCACGTCAGCCGCGTGGGTCGGATTTGACAACGCGAGAAAAATGACGACCGTGATGTGGCGTTTATGTGAACGGCACGGCCGGGCCGACCCATGACACGCGCTCCGCCCGGATGCCAGCTATTCAAACAGACAACGTCATGCAGCAGAATGATGGACGGCGTGCATCACTTATGCATTACATCTGTAAAACATCGGATTGCTCATTGAAATATGCGCTCCGCTCCTCCAATTCACCAGAACGCCGGAGCAATGCCATCAGTCAGACGGACGGACGCCGGCGGCATCACTAAGAACCGCCCTGACGGAGAGTTCATGGAGCGTTGGAGTCACCCCGTCCATCTTTGGCGGGCAGCCTCGTCAGCACCGTTTCGCGACCCGGGCCGTTTCAGAGTCGCCCCCCTTCCTGGTGACATATTGCGCGGGCGTTCCACTTGTTGCTGGCTAATACTGCCCGTCGCCTTCCACCCCGCCGCCTACCCATCACCACCCCTGCGAGTCATGTCCGATCAGCTCGTAACCACTTATCGAGCGCGCCATCGCATTCCGTCGGCCATCGGACGAGCCGGCACGGCCCCTCTGTGCATGTTCCGCCCCCATATAGCAGCGTCGGCCAGGAGCCCAGCCCGGCGGAGCGGCCGCCGCCCGCGGGCGGCCACCCGCCCACCGCGCCTACCCAATATCACCATCCACACATCGCGCCGAGACAGATAAATACCACACGTATATTCTGCAGCCGCGGTGGGCCCGCCCCCCGCGCGGAGGCACCCAGCGTGCGCGCGCGCGTCGAAAATCCCTCGCACTCATTTCGCCGCGCCGTGCAAATATTTAATCAGCGCGGCCCGCTCGGAAACTATGCCCTAACAAGGCGGCAGCGGCGGCCAGCAGTCTTATAATGAGCTGTCTGGTGAGGCGGCGTGTCTGCCCCGGGCCCAGGGCACCTGTAATATACCGCGGTGGGACGGCCGAGCGGGCGGGCGGCGGGCCCGGCCGCGCCGTGGGACCGTACCGTGGGCGAGTATAGGGATTGGGGAGGGAGGGAGGGAGGGAGGGTGTCCCAGAACGGAGCATTTGCCGGCTCGTTAGCGGGGCATCACCCGTGTGATCTCCCACGGGGGAGTGGAGGAGTGGGTGATGGAGACTGCCGGAGCGGAAGGGAGGCTCGGAGGAAGTTTGGAGTTCTTTGGAAGATCGGAGAGCTCTGCGGGAGATAAGAGGAGGATGGGAGTTGAGGGGAGTGTCGGTAAAGTTTGCCCGGATCCACTGCTGAGAAGCAGCTCATGAAAGTTACTTTGAGCTGAGCTGTGATCAATATTACGCTCGCCCAATATTGGTTTGTGGACAGAACGTTTTAAAAGATGTCCAGGCTGTTGTCCAGTATCAAGGACGAGCATTGAGCTGGAGAAAGTCCCCGCGTTATGTGAAGATGCGTTTACTGCCGAGAGAAAGCACTAACCAAGCAATATAAATCACCACAAACGTGTTTCGTATGCTTCAACGAAGCTCACAACGGACAATAAGAACCGCAATGGGGCATCGACACGGCATTTGAAGTGCGTGCGTGAAACGCGGTCCGTCCTGAGAAACCAGCGCCGTTGCGCAGCCGCTGCGCCCTTTCAAGCCGCTGTTTGTGCGACTGACCGTATTTACCGAGGTCCGTGGGTGTGCGACGAGCCGCCTGGCACGTACAGCCATCCACAAATGGGCACGATCGCGCTCAGACCGGGTCAAGCGCAGGGCGGGGCAGCATGAGCGGCATGCAACTGGCCGAATAGGGCGCCGCGCTGCCTGGGCAGAGTGATGCAGCCATGTCGGCGAGAGAGGCTTCTCCAGAGGGGGGGGGGGGGTTGAAGAAGCAGCTAAGTGTCGGCTGATGGCCCTGAGAAGCTGTGGGAAGGTTGCAAAGCTTGCTAGCGCTGTGCAGGGAGTGGTGGAGCTGAGGGAGCTCTGAGCTCCAAGTCGACCGTTGTTGATTTCAGCGATCCATTCAGCTTGTCAGCGATGTCGGTGATTACCGCCACTGTTAAATTCCTTCACCACACATCCGTCCGGCTGCCGTCAGCTCCTGTTAGCCGACCTTCATCCTCAGTCTCTCTGAGACCAGCGGGGGGCCGCAGTGCCCTTCACAGACCGCCGTCAGCGCTCAGCCGCCGCTCTGAACCCCCCAGTGTAGGCGGCACGCTGTTTGGACGCGGCAGCCCCATGACGTCTGTAAACTGGCGCACAAAGACTCCCTGTCTAGCTGCGACTGTAACAGAGCCGGCGGACCGGCGGTGGCCAGCGCTATCTGCCGCTGCGGCGCCAACGGAGGAGCTGTGAACGGCATCTGTCGACAGCTCCGTCTGAGGGCGAGCTGGCATATCGCAGTGCAACTTGTGAGCGGGACATGTCGATGGCTACGGTGGTGCTATCTTGTTTGATGTTTTAAAATAAGACATGTGAGGCATAGTTGTGGTCCACCGCATCGTGCCGCGAAGACGTTGCAAGAGCACCGAGCCAAGCATGTCTGTTTTTGTTTTACGCCCGATGAGACCATTTCTCACCGCTGGAATGCGGGATGACCTGCGTTTGGTCCCATCATCTCAGCAGCGTCGTGTCTTTTCCCAGTTTTACCGCCCTGCCCCGGCCGGCCCTGGTCGCGTCGCGTGCCTTCGCCGTCTGTTTTCTTACGCTGCTTCTTGTCGGGAAAACAAATGGCACGGGAGCGGCATTAACTGTGAGGCCTGGTTGGTGCGTGTTTCGTCCCAGACGGCCGCTCCGCCGACCACTGGGTGTCGACCGCGGGTCGCTCGCCGCCGCCGACCGTCCCGACCTGGCCGAGTTTTTGCACGCGGCGCGCGGCACCACGCGGCGGCCCGGCCCGGCCGACCTGCAATCCATCGCCACGCGCGTCCGCCGCCGCCCCATCCGTCTCATTATCATTCACAGTATGCAGATCAGTGGCCGGTTTTTCGTTCAGCGGCAGAGCGGGTAAACAAACTGCGCGTGCGCACCAGCGACCTGCCACCGCGGCTCGGTCTGAACCCATTCCGCCGCTCATCGGATGGGTGGTCGCCCCGCGGCCGGAGGGTTGTGGCTGGGATTGGACAGGCTGTCACAACATACCGTGAATCCGACCGTCAGGATGTTGATACAAATCCTGAGAAGGGGATTTTGTGGTGATCTGGTTTCCTTCATTTGAAGTTGAACTTCCACTACCCTCGCCTAATTCTATCATTTACTTTTTCCATTTGTCCGTCTCTCTCTCTCTCTCTCTCTCTCTCTCTCTCTCTCTCTCTCTCTCTCTCTCTCTCTCTCTCTCTCTCTCTCTCTCTCTCTCTCTCTCTCTCTCTCTCTCTCTCTCTCTCTCTCTCTCTCGTTATCTATACCCATATCAGTGTCCGTCTCTCGTTCTCACAATGTTTGAAACAAATCGCTGTATATTTTAGCTGTGGCTGAATGTCATGGATATGCATGAGGTGCCGGTATGCGTCTGTCTCGCCTGACAAACGTCTCTGTTCGCCTTACAGGCACCTGGACAGAAATCAAATCAGCTGTGTGGATCAGCAAAGCTTCCATGGACTCCAGTACCTAGAGACGCTGTGAGTATACTGTGACCTGAAATAAGGTCTTGAAGTTGGTGAGATGCGCCCATTTTATGGTGTTTGATTTTTTTTTTTAAGAAAAGCTCTCCCTAAAAGTGAGGCGTAAAAAAAAGATCCAGCGAGACTTCAATAAGTGATTTTTAAAGTTTGTTTATCTAGTCAGTAGACTGTTTATCAAATACACACCCGCTGATGGAAAACGCGATTTTGGGCAGGTTTAGACACTCGTCAATTTTCGGTTGTTTTTTACCGCGGAGGAGCCGCGTCACCGGGGCCGCCCGGCGCCTCCATCGTCCCTCCCGTCTCTCTTTCCGTCAGCGGGTGATGAGCAGTCTGGCTGGAAACGGCCGTCTGCCTGTCGAGTTACGACGCCATGTCACTGTCACCGCGTCCCATCGTCAATGACCTGCCAACACCGCTTAGAAAGTGCTTACGAGCTGCGCTCCGGCATTACTCGCGAGACTAAGCCGTCACTAATCCATGTCCTGTAGCCGAAATAGTCGGCTCGGTGGGCTTATCTCGCCTTCGCAGCCATTATCGGAGGCCATATTCATTCCGCAGCGAGTCACGAGTAGGTCCTACCATGCCATGTCGGCACATTTGTGCATACGAATTGTATCGTTTGAACATAAGTTAAGCTGCATAATGTTCTTGAAACTCCGATACGCCCTCGGTGGTATGTCCGTTTCTTTCATGTAGTGTTCTATTTCCCGCCTCTGCTATACTTGGAACCAAGCGCAATCACCATCTGATTCCTCTTCAGTGCATTAATGTAATTGCTGTTTTTGAAATGCTTACGACAGAAGAAGTGAACCAGTCGATCCCATTCTACCTAATGGCGCGCTCGGCACTCGGAGAGCCATACCATCACTCCGGCGCCAGCACTTCGCCTGGTCCGGTCGTGAGGGCGCCAACTGACCTCCCCACTTCTCTCGGATCTCCGAAGCACCCATTATCCCTCCTGCTCCCCTGTCCTGTCCTCTGTCGCGCCCTGGTGTCGGTACGACACCTCAGCCCGCCGCGCTGTCAGCTCAGGCACCTCTGACCTGACGGCTCTCGCAGCTCGCAGCTTGTCCCACGCACGTCAGAAGACGCCGCTCATGCATAGACGGGGGCGTTGCTGAAGTGCGGTGCCGCGCAGACTCCTCACGCGTTTCACGGCGCTCAGGTCACGCCGCGACCGGCGCACTTTGCGCAACCCGTTCGTGGCCAATTAACCTTTGTCCGAGACTGGGACGTCGCGATCTTTACGAGCGACACGCCGACGGCCCTACACCGCAGCGTCGACACGCGCGACGAGTTATGTCCGAGTGCAGGCCGAGTTATGACGAGTGATGGCCGAGTTATGTCGGGCGGAGGCGCTCCACGCCCTGTGTTCGCCGTCGGCTGCTTCGTGTCATCGGGTCGCCGTCCGGCCGCGCCAGGTTGGCCTCAAAACTGGCGCGTCACGCCCGCAAAGCAGCCCCGAACTCCTACGTGACGTCCCGCGCGCCACGCGGCGAAAAACGGCGCCCGCGAGTGGCGCGCGACGTTCGGGGCGCGCGCCGCCGCCGGCCACCACTTTAGATGGCATCTTATCGGACGACATCGCATTATTCTGTTTGTCTTAGTGCGGCGCATTACCATGGACGGCCTTCCGGTGCGAGGGGACGTGGAGATTGGCGAGCGAGAACTGGGTGACCGCCGGCGCCGGTCCGGTGACGGCGCTGCCAAACATCGGCATTAGCGCTCTTCGGGGTCCCAATAAGATGTCCCCTTCTTGCATTCAAGGTACAGCGATTATCGTCTGATGGCTCTTTGACGAATGCCTCATTTTCAAATCCACCGGAGTCTCCTGGGTTAGGCCGCAAACGTCGTCTCACCGCTGTACTACACCGTCCACAGCGGCGTGGTGACAGTCACCAGCTCGCTCTCACGGTCCGACCGACGGCAGTGGCGTGTCGGCGACGGCTGCTGTCGGCTCGGAAAAACTCGTCCGAGCTGCCGCGGCCGTCACGGCTGTCGCTGTCGTGTCCCCCTATCGACGGCTGAGTGTCAGTCTGTCCGAGCGGCGGTGTCGACGCGCGCGGCGGACCGTACGCTGACCTGTCATGCATCGCCACTGAACCGGCCGCGTATCGGTCGCGGCTCACGCACGGCACTCGGCGAGCTCCCTCGCGCCGCTAAAACACCGGCCGTGTGACCGACCGACGAGACTGTCGGACCCGGTGTGAGGCCTTTGGGGGAGGGGGAAGGGGTGCGGTCTGCTGTCGGTACTGGAGCGAGGTGGCTCCTTGGCAGCTCGGCTCGTGCACCGAGTGCATCTTGCACGCTCAGTGCACCCGAGCCTGCAAATTCCCGTCTGACAAGTTTTTGCCTAGCTGCAGATTCCTCTTTTTGCTCATTTTGCGCGATTCACAGTAGACGCACATAACCCACCTGGGTGCTTTGCAGAGCAACTCAGCTGAGGGTGGCTGTCTTGCGGGCGAGTGAGCGAAAAGAATGACAAAAACTTAAATAGGAGCGCTACTTGAGCTTAGTTGAATGAGCTGGCTGAGATGCAGGCCTGAAGAAGATATAACCGAAAATGGCACCGTATTAGAGCGAGCGATAGTTACGGTACAGTGTGACCAAGAAACAATTATAATAATATAATTGAGATACGAAAGCATTATACGGAGGCAAATAAAGCGCGGAAACTAGCCCGAACATCATTTACCCTGATCACTGGACGACCTAATGGCTTCCCGATTTACCTTCGTCGTTATCTGTCACTGTGCCTATGCTTTAGGGCCTTGCCTATGCTGAAGCCGTCCGTCTACCTCTCACAGAACTCTGAACGGCAACCTGCTGACGACCCTGCCGGACGGCGTGTTCTCCGCTCTGCGTAACCTGCTATCGGTGGAGTTGGCGGACAACCGGCTCATCTGCGACTGCCACCTGACCTGGCTGGGTGGCTGGTACCGCACCAAAGGTCAAGGTCACGCCGTGTGCAGCTCGCCGCTCCGACTCAAGGACCGCCGCCTCTCCGACGTACGCGATGCCGAGTTCAAGTGCTCAGGTGAGTGGAAGGGATATTTATAACAGACGGTTGTGATAGTGGTGAAATATCAAATATCCTTTAACGCGACAGGGACCTGTTAATTTACCATTTAATAGCTGCCATCAACACGAGAAACCGATACCTAATAAACATGTTTTACCATCGATACGCTACGATATGCGGGCACATTATGGAACCCTCTTGCCCCAATAAACAACACAGTTAATGTTGATACCTGTTGCATTTATCCACCAGCCAATGCTTCTGGAAACAGTTTCGCGTTTCACACATCCTGAAGAATGGTGTTGCGCTCAATCACTTCCTTATTTGTATCAACCTGGGGATGACTCATGACTGCGGATTCGTCCCGGTAAATCGGTTTGACCGGTCGCGTCAGGCGGGCACTGCGCCGCTAACCAGGGTCGCGTGTTCCGGCGAGGTAATTGGTGCGGACTGACCTGTGGTCGAGATAATTGTACCGGTGACCAGTCGACATCCGCTGGGCTGGCCGAGCCCACTGGCAACCGCGAGCCAACCGACCGCGAATGACAGCTGCAGGTATCAGCAGGCTGCGCAGAGGAAGTAACTGCAGCAGTGACGCCTTTCCCGCACCTTCAGCGCATCGCTCTCACGAGTCCGCTCAACAGGTCACAGAGAGTTTGATGTTTCCCAAACGAAATTCGCAGCAGGACGAGTTGTGGCGGCTCCCACGTTTCGCGTCGTTCATTTTTACAGTCTAAAGTGGCCGAGTGTTTATGGTTGGCCATTAATTTCACTCGATTTGCGGCTTGTCGTTTCAGCTGTCATCATGACCGGGCGAGTTCCCAAGCGGTTCTGGCCAGGATGTGAGCGCGTTTGATCCACCTGGATTTGTGCCACAATAGACGCCGAGCTTCAGTCGGAGTAATAGCTGGATTCTTTTCAAACGAGCGTTTTGATAGCCTCGCTGTGAGTAGTATGGCAACTATGGAAGGTTGCCAACGCGGTCACGTCAAACACTTATGTCAAGGTCAGCGTAGTCTATAAAGTAAGGGTGAAGTTATTAATCAATTATAGTAGCATCGAAGCAAAACGTCTTAAAAATGAAAATGAAGAGGATTATGCTATAAATGCATCCATGCCTAAATCACAAAATGCTGGTGCAATGCCGTAGCCGCATGCTTATCAGCAGTTGCAGGTTTACTTCTAATGAAAAAATCAGAGTATGCATATTACATAACGTGCGCGATAACCGAGCTCATCGTCACACCCACGCATGCATCATGGCTAGGCAGGTCTTAGAACTGAGCTTGAACTTGAGTCGGTAAGCGACTTAACCCTCGCACGACCAGGCCATTTCTCATAACACGAACGACCAGGGGGGGGGGGGGTTGTTACGACCCCCCCTGGTGTTTCGAAACGGAAAGTCGTAGAGCTTAGCGGAAAAAACCAACGGATTGCTCTCAACGAGATCTCGCGATTGGTGGTATATTTTTTGGTCCTAGGTCAACATTTGACCTACTTTTGACCGGTCAAAGGTCAAATTTTCGGAAAAATAGACTTTTTTCAACTTTCCGCGGCGATTGCGGCAAAACGGTGGGAGATATCGACTTGAAACCTTCACTATCGTGTTCCTTGATCAATTCTCTATCGTTTGGTATGTATTTCGTTTCCCTAGCTCTAAAAATGGCGCGTTGGAAGCGCCGGAAGTCGGCAAGGTCACAGTCGGCGGCAGAAATTCGAAAAATCAAAATTTAAATTTTTGAAATCTGATTGTATTTTTGGATTTGGAAGGTCCATTTGCTCCTTATAGAAGCTAATATTGCTGCATATTCCCATTGAGGTGACAAGAATTAGCAAAATAGTGGTTCGGGCGCTTTTCAAAAATAGTACCGGACGCTGTTCCTCTTATGACGTCATAACTCCGTGACCTGACCTGACCCGGTCAATTTTCTTGCACCACACGATAGCCAATGCTTGCCCCAACATGCATGGGAAGTTTCATCATGATCCATCAAACAATGTGGGTATCACCGGCAGAAAACCTAGGGATTCGGCGCACACGTTTGGTAACTGTCGGCCGGAGGCTGTACCTCTTATGACGTCATAACTCCGTGACCTGACATGACCCGATCAATTTTTTTTCGGCAAAAGATGCGCAACGGTTGCCCCAGAGGGTATTGAAAATTTCAGCCCGCTACGACAAGCCGTTTAGCGTGCACTTCGAAAAAACCTCAGGGGGGGGGTTGATACAACCCCCCCCCCCCCTAGGCGTTCTAGGGTTAACTCGCAAATGGACGATGCCAATAATGGAGTTAATGCTCTGCAAAGTCATTGCAGCATAAAGATTCCCCGAACCGAGGAAAATGGCCCTATTGATGTCGAAAATGAGCATCGGGCATTTCTGGAACTACCCCCATGAGCGGCTCTCTAAGGTTCATTCATTTTCATGAGGTTGAGCGCCTGAGACCAATCCAGTGTTACTGGAGATTTCGACTAACTTGTGTGACTCTGCCGCGTCCGTTCAGCATCCAAATTGGTCGGCCATTGCCGTCTCCGACACCATGGAAAGTCCGGCAATCATTCGCCGTTCCATTCTCCAAGCGCACTTCCCGATCGCTTTTGCACGAGGCTTGGGTCCGTGCTGTTGCGATTGGTCACAACTTTGGCTCGGCCACCCGGCAGACAAATGCCCTGATTAGTTCCACGACGGCTGCACTCGGCGCAGCGGTGCCTGGGGCAGTGCAAAAGTCGCGCCGGGCTCCTCGACTCACGACACGACTAATGGGTGGCAACACGCGCGTTTGGAAAGAAAAGACAACCGCACCTGGCACCAGGGTGGTCCGTGAAAGCGGTGAACCCCATTCAGACAGTCGGGTCATGCTTTGACTTTCAAGACTGCCGGTGCATTGGGCAACACGAGTCCTTCATAAAGCTGTATCAAAGCTCGCACAAATAGCTCGGCATCCATAGAGCGCTAGCGGCTTTTGTCGGCATCAGCAGTCATGAGCCCGGCATTATGATCGTTGCAGCGCGCGCGCCTGATCTGCAGACCCCCCGCTGAACAGACAGCCCGCCCGCCGCAATGGACAAGTGTCATGAGCGCATCACAAAGCACTCGGCCGCCGGCGCCGGCCCTTTGGGCGCAGCTGACCCGCCGACCCCACCTCGGGTGACGTCAGAGGTCGGCGGTTCAGCTGCGCCGCGCCGGGGTCGGCTCCGACCCGTCACCCGTGACCGCCGCGGCCCCCCAGGCGGTGCGGGGCGGCCGGCCACAGTCGGGCCCATTGAGCTCCGTCCGTGCCTTTCAACACGGCCCGCTAATGGTCACTGGTCATGGGCCTCCTAATGGGAAACACGCAATATTCTGCTATTATCGGCCACCACTATGCTAATTTGGTCCACCCCGAGCACGTCAGCTCGTGCCTAAAATTGCGCTCCAATTTACGAAGAAATATCGTAACTTTGAGGTACACTAAATGGGCCCGACAGGTCCTCAGTTAACGGTTAACAAGTTTGCCGGTACCGGCTACCGATTTCGCTCAACTCGCGTCAGTAATTTATGCGTGGGAAAATACGTAGATTGATTGAAATCGGCATTCATTGTCACAGCCACGGCTAGTTCAATCCGTCTTGTGTCACCAAGATCGATAGCTCTTGTGGTCACTTAGCCGTATTTAGGCATCCAATGCATTCGCGTGACTTCAGTAATGAACGATGAATGACAGAATCTGGCTTTTTATATCCTCTGATTTGTGCCGCTGGTTAGTAGCGCCGGTATTTTTTCGTGACTGCTCCGTCAGCAGCAATAAACGACAGGCTGTTTGCCGTCTTATTGGTATCGCGTGCGGACATTCTCGCCACCTGAGGCCGCATCTAATACATAGAGACCGGACTCCCCAGACACTGGTATATAAGGGATGTCAAGGTTATTGCTGTTGCTCAATGAAGCTTCATTCAATAAAGCTCTTCGGGGAACTACATAGGACAGTGTCAAATGACAATACCTATAACCTATGCGTATTGGATTTAGGTAAAAAGAGATACAGAGAGAGAGAGAGAGAGAGAGAGAGAGAGAGGGGGGGGGGAGAAAGAGAAAGCGTATAAGAGCATAAATGCTTTATATCAAACGGGTCATACAGTCTATCAAAATACCAGGTACCTATATTTACTCCAAAGAAGTTGCGATATGTGACGAGCGATTGTGACATGAAGGACGTCAGTTATGGCTAACCAAGCCTGAAATATGGCAACAAGGCTGTAAAAGTGTAAGCTGATCCCCTGGATGAGCGATTTTACCACCTTCAGCTTCAAAGAGCGCCCACACCAAAGACAAGCTCAAAGTCTGCTACTAACAAACGAAACATTATGATCGAGATAAGCGCGACATTTAATCTGACTGCGATCTTATTATAACCTGATTATGACCTGGTCATATAGCATGAACCCTGACCTTGCCATGACCCACTGTTGACCTGACGACGCCCTGACCGTGACCTGACGGTGACCTGTCCTGTGTTCCCCCAGGTCTGGAGCACACGCCCGGAGGTCGGTGCTCCCCCACCTCTCTGTGTCCGCCGCTCTGCAAGTGTTCCGACCGAGTGGTGGACTGCCGTGATCGGGAGCTGGATGCTGTGCCCGAGGCACTGCCTCAGGGCACAGAGGAGCTGTGAGTACTGGCGAGAGGGGCTGGGAGTATGGGTTAGGGAGGCTGGGAGTGTAGGCGAGGGGGCTAGGAGTGTGGGTGAGAGGGGCTGGGGGTGTGGGTGTGGGTGAGAGGGGCTGGGAGTGTGGGTGAGAGGGGCTGGGGGTGTGGGTGAGAGGGGCTGGGGGTGTGGGTGAGAGGAGATGTGGAGCAGAGGATCTGTTTGAGCTATAGGAGTACCTAACAAACAGTAAATTTACACGAGTGATGTGAATTTGTGAACCAGAGAAACGGGGAGAGTGAGCTGCCGAAAAGCTTTAAGTTTAAGATAGAGGAGCTATTAATGTGAGCTAAAGACGGTGAGAGTGAAGCATTAGTGGTGAGCCAGATTTATGAGCCAGAGTATTGGAGTGTATGAGCTTTAGGAGCTGAGAATTCAGAGTGTGTGGGATGACTCATCTGTTCCCTTCTGTGTTGCACAGCAATGCATTAATGCCCAATGCCAGTCTTATCCAATAGTCCCATCCTGTATCCGGGATACTACCCAGCCCCGGTGACATAATGTGACGTATCGCGCCCGTATCATGACGCTCTCTGCCTCCTCATGGCGTGACTGCACGGTGTGTCACACGTCACGGACGTGGGAGCCGAGGTATGATGACAGTGTGTCACGGATCCTGTTGCAGCAACTGGCGACAACAACGATTTGATAACAATAACATTATTTGTATTATAGCTCGTGGAGAAGATCGGTTTAACTTATGTCAAGCAAAGAATGGGTATTTTGTCACCACTTTGCATTATAAAAGTATAGGCCTAGCACCGGCATTTCTGGCGCAGCATCTCCGGTGGCGAAGCACGTAGAACATTGCAACAGACGGACATACACCCGTGGCGTACATTATTCATGAAAGCACGACCCACGGCCCCGCTTGCGACCAGACAATCTGATCGTATTTGATATCACTGATAGCTGCACGAGCGTGCCAGTGTCCGGCGACCGGCGCTGGACAAATGATGGCGATCCCCGTCCGTACGACACTTTATCGGTCGGGCGAACGGTCGTGCATGCGTAATTCATTTGTGCCGTGGCCGCCCCCGCTGGCGCCGTGCCGTTTACGATATGCGTCTATGGACTAATGAGGTGAACAGTCGATCGGTGACCGATATAACGGCAGACGTGTGCCGCAGTAGTTGGTCATTTGGGGCGTGCGGAGCCGGCATGACCGTATGGTGCGGAGGGCGGCTGTTACAGAATGTGTAGCGAGTTTTGCGATAACAAAAGAAGAAATGAGAATCGACGAGGGAAAGCATCAGAGATAACGATTTCAATGATTCACTCATGAGTTTGATTTAACGCGTGAGTGAAGTCTCTCATTGTGCCATATGTCATTTGCGAACTTAGTTGGCGTCCCTCTGCACCAGGAATGTCACGAATAGGCGACTACGCGCCGGACATGCTCGGGTCCCAGTTAATCCACGTTTTATGCATGCCTGATATGTCTTGCCGTATGTTCAGTGGTGCATGCGATAGACAAGTATCACACGCACAGGTGACAGCAAGACGCTGTCACCTCTCAGCAAACAAAAACGTCAGGGCAGTGAGAGGCACCATCGAGCACTTCTTGTGAGGAGATTTTAGACGACCGGCACGTGGGCGACCGTCCATACCGTTCGAATCGCACTCGGCAAGGAAGAGCTCCAGCGCGTCGGCGCGACGACAGATACCGATGGATTGCGGTGATACGTGTCTGGCTGCGCCGCGTTCTGGCGTAAAAACGGCCCCCGTGACGAATAGCCGCAGTCCGTGCACTGTCGGAAGTGCTGATGTCTCCACCTATGTGGGTCATCCCCGCCCGCGTCCGAGCGTAGCCAGGACCCGTGTCGACAGGCGAGAACGCGTCTTTCGCCGGCCGATCTCGCCATCATCAGAGCCGTCATCGCCTCATCTCGCCAGTCACTGCGGCGCTCGGCACGCGCAGTGCGCACTGCACGCGCACTGCACGAGCGCTCAGCAGGTCGGCGATTCGGCGCTGTCGGCGGGGACCCACTGCGTGCCATCAGCGTGCCGGCCTGCGTGCCTTCCGTGTGCCAATCGGCGCACACGTCATCGCTCTCCGGAATGCCACCGCGGCGCCGGTCAGCCCGAACAGGAACTGGAGCAGAGCTGCTGACACGTCCCAGTCAGAGTTCAGAGACAGATGTATCCCTGCGTATCCCAAATTATCGCCTCGCCGATCGGAAATATTTCTCGGAGATGCAGGAGAGAGGATCTACCTGGACTACATCAAACGGATTTCTGATAGTCTCGACGGGGAATCAATGATTTATAGCGCAGTGTCACCGTTAATATATTGCAGAACGTGAGTGCTGCGGATTGCGTTCCGCTCTATCGCGGGCCGCGGTGGCTGTCGGACACATGATCTGTCCAAGACCGTTTCAGCGAACGGCGGATCGTGCCGGTGAATATTTGAATCTGATTGGAAGTTGTACGGTAATAGCCAGCCCAATGGATGTGTCAATAGTCGCCCGGGGAGGCAAACACACTGACAGGCGAATTAGCGCCTGAGACAGCACAAGAAAAAGGGTGACGGCGATACGACGAACCCCCTCTCTTTGTGATTCAGCTGCCCAACGTGTGTGTGTGTGGCCATACATATGAGGCGTTAGTCATGTGTGGTCGCCGCGGAATACCTTTGGTTGACGATGCTTGCCTATAGTGGCCTGAGATATATCCAGCTGCACCTACCGTAATGTGTCGTCCGTTCCACGTCCTCGCTCAACGACAGGACTGCCGCGTCGTGCGCTCTTTTGTTGACCACACCCGTCATCACTTGTCGAATTCAGCAAAATGAGACGCTCCCAGATTGTCAATCTTCCTAAACGTCCCAAACCGTCTCCAGATTAACAGATTAACTAAGAGCCCCGCGAGGTCGCATCGACTCATCCTAAAAGCACAGAACCGTTTTACGAGAGCCGCAACAATCACCGTCCACGCGTGGCCGCCGGGGCAGTGTGCGATACCCGCTCCCGCTCGCACTGACGCCTCGCTGGCGGCACGCCGTGGTCACGTCACGTACGCCCTGATGTTGGCCGCTTGTTGGGCCGTGTTCCGCCGTGTCCGGAGCGGCGTCGGCTCCCTTCTCCGAGCCGCCGCGGCGCCGTCGGACCCGTTCAGCCGGCGCCGCACAATAGAGCGCCGCCCGGCCCCGTCAGGTATAAATAGGAGCGACTGTGTGACCGGGTGTACCGCTCCGTCTGGATTGCACAGGCTGAACTATCGAAGGATGCCGCCGCGGCGCCGCTGATCTGGCGTCTGGCTCGTCTGGGTGGTATGCTGGATGCTCTGTGGGGCTGCCGCGGTCTCCAAGAGCGTCTGTGTGTTTGCGTGTGGCGAGGGATGCGTGCGCGATTGTGGGGTGAGATTGTCGGTGATGGGTTAGACAGGTGACAACTGACACTCCACCCCTTAGCCGGGACCTGTGTGTTTGACGGCAGAGTTCTGCAGTCGATCAGACTTCCCCTCCTTCCCCTCCCGTCTGTCAGCAGCCGATGGGGAGATGATGTCCCCTCCTTCCCAGCTCCCCGCCCATCCCCGGTCCCGGGAGGTCGTCGTCTCTGCTGAGGACAGCCAATCGCGCCTCTCGAGCAGTGCCCTAACCGTGCGTCTTTGTCGACAGACGTCTGGAGCAGAACAAGATCAAGGAGATCCCGGCGGCCGCCTTCAAGCACTACCGCAACCTCAACAAAATGTGAGTCAAAGCCTTCACGTCACACCCGATACCGGCCAAGTGCAGGCTGTCTTCTGTAAGTACAAAAGCTGGCTTAGTATCGCCAGCACAGCCGCAGAGATCCAACTGCCTTTGAATGGTGTTTGATATGATGATGGTGCTTGGGGGTGCTGCTGGAGCGGCCCGTTTACGACGCGGGGTGGCGCAGCTGGGTGGGCGATCCTCAATGGCTGTGACACTGTTAAAATTGGCCGCGTTACGCTGCAGAGCGGTATCGAAGCGGCCGTCTGTCGGCATACGTGATGACCCCATTCGGCAGCCAGTGAGCCGTAACGGTTTGTAGCCGTACTTTGGCTGTCGGTAGCTTGTCAGCTTTTTAGCCTCAGCGTACGGTGGCTAACTAGCTGACTTATTAAACATGACAGCAATGGTTTGGCAATGACCCCAAGATACAGTCGCTCAACAATGGTGTCTATATCTACCATGAATGTAGATCTCATTGGTCCCATAGTTCGGTGCTTCTCAGTGGACTGGTTGATCTTTGCAAACTCTCAAAGCCGTGAGATCTCTGTTAACTCATTGACACTGCAGAGCAGGCAGACGTCTTCAGTGTGCCAGTCACGAGAGTCAGCAGCGTCCCTTCTAACACGTACACCGTCGCTAGTAAACACTAGACACTGATGAGCGCCATGAGAGCGGCAGGGACAGGGACACTCCACCCTGACCGTGCAGGCGCGCAGCACCTTCCACTGCAGACTGCGGTAGGGCGGGCCAGCCGTGTGCCGAGTCAACATGACACCAATTAGACGAGCTGTGATAGATAAGCTAAAATTATAGGCCGGTTCCTCTGGTCAGCAACTTGAGATTCCAACTTCAACTTTTCTGCCGGTTTATTACTCTAAAGCACTGTGGCGGTTCATCGTTCAAATCCAAGGTGTCACGACACACGGTAGCGGCAACACGGCGACAGATGGATCCAGACTGACTAGAAAGGATAAAAACAAAACGAAATCGGCTCGGTGAAAAATGGAAGCATTACATCACTAACAAAAAGTGATGGATTCAGGACAGGGGCGGGCAAATAGAGGAAAGTTTTACTGGGTGAGGAAAGGTAGGGTACATCAACACGGGTCACGGGTGAAGGTAAAAAAGGTAAGAGGCTACTAATCACAACACACTCCCCACTCGAAATCGAGCGCACGACCGATTTCGAAAAACAAACTTAACGATGAATACGACAAAAGGCACAGCACTCTGCGATAGTTCGCGGCGACGTAACTCGTCCCGATCACTGAACCGGTACGACTCAGTCCGACTCAGTCCGCCGCCTCCAGCAGGAACAGGCGGCTGACAGGGCGGCGAGTGCTCCGCCCGCGCAGGCTGATGACGGCGGCCCTCACGTGGCCGTCCGGTCCCGCCAGCAGCCGCGTCACTCGCGCCACAGGCCACCGGCCGCGCGGCCTCTCACTGTGGACTAGCACCACGTCTCCCACGCGCGGTGTACGGCTAGGTCGTCCACGGGGCGAGACGCTCCAGCAGCGGAGAGCGTTGCGGTACTCATCACACCACCGCCGGATCAGATGGTCGCAGACCCGCTTCTGGTGACGCCAGGCCCTGCTGATGGAACACTCTTTCAATGTTGGGCACAAGACACCGTCTATGCTCGTCACGCCGAAAAGCAGGTGGGCGGGGGTAAGGAGATCTTCACCATCGCCCTGGGTGAGGGGGCGCAGGTTTATGAAAAAAGCGAGCTCATACATCGTGGCAGACAACTCCTCAAACGTCAGGTGGCACTGATGTAGGGTGATGCGAAGAGCCTTCTTTGTCACGCCCACCAAACGCTCCCAGTACCCTCCCCACCAGGGGGCAGCCTCAGGGATGAACTTCCACGTTACCGACCGGGGTAGGTGGCCAAGCAAGGCCCGGAACGTCCGAGCGTTGTCGCTGTACACCAGAGCTGGCGTCCCTCGGATGGCGCAGAACCGTCTCAGCGCCAGGATCACGTCAGCGGTGGCCTGTGAGCGAACAAGCTCTAAGTGCACAGCGCGGGAAGTGGCACATGTTATCAAAAGCACCCACACTTTCGCCTGGCTCTGATCAACGTACAGTGGGCCGAAAAAATCGACACCGACTTTGGCAAATGGACGGCTCGGCTGTGTCCTGAAGTTAGGCAGTGCTCCCTCAGGTGATCGGTACGGTACGCATCGGTAACGACAGCATCGGCGACAGGTTTCAACGATTCGACGCACCGTGCGTCTCCTCACCGCGTACTCAGCAGTCAGCAGGGAGAGGGTTACCCGCGTCCCCTGGTGGAAGCAGAGGCGGTGCGCGTCATCGACAATCAGAGTGGTGACATGGGCCAGGTCGGGCAGCACAGGTACAGCCCGCTCCCCACTGCGCAGCGTCGCCTCCAGCACGCCATCGTCACTTAGCTGTGGATGCAGCTTTTGAAGCGGTGAGCCGGCCGGCAGCAGTTTACCGGCACGTACGGCGTTGGTCTCCTCTCTGTAGGCACGGGCCTGTGCCTCTCTGATCCAGAAGCGGAGGCTCAGTCTCTTCTCCTCGGGCGTCAGCGGACCCGTCCGGCGCTCCTCCCTCGGTAGGCGGCTGTTGGTGACGAAACGGAACACCCACGCGAGCCTCAGCACAGCCTGTGTGAGGGTAGAACATGACGTAATGTCAAACGGTAGGGTCTCACTTGTGTCACTTCGCGTCGTCAGCAGGGTCAGCTTCAACGGGGGCTTCTGCAGCTTCACTTCACTGGTGGCCTCCTGAGACGGCTGCAGACTGTCGGCCTCGTCTGTCGGTCCACAGCAGATCCTGGTATCAGGTCCCTGTCGGAGAAATGTCGGTCCTCGCCACCACAGATCACACTTCTCCAGAGCGGTCATGGACATACCTCTCGTCCCCAGGTCGGCCTGGTTGTCTTGTCCTCTTACGTGGTGCCATTGCTCCGCTTGAGTCAACTGGAGGATGGTGGTCACTCTGTTCTGCACGAACAGCTTCAGCTTCTTCTTGCTCTTCAGCCAGAAGATGACGTCCATGGAGTCGGTCCAATAGACGACTTGTAGGCTCTCCAGACTCAACGCCTGTCTGACAAAGTCCATCAGCCTGGCGCCGATGAGGGCGCCCATCAGTTCAAGTCTGGGCACGCTGAGGGCGGGAGTCAGGGGCGCGAGACGAGATTTGGACATGAGCAGCCTGGACTCCCCACCCTGCACAGCGTAGATGACACAACAATACGCTTTCTTTGAGGCATCACAAAAGACATGGTAGGTGACGTCACAGTCATTCGTCAGCAGCGCGCGGGGGAACCATACAGTTCGGTCTGGTGCGTCTGTGAGCCATTCTGTTAGCTCCTCCTGTAGCTGTGGGGGCAGCTCCTCATCCCAGCTGACCGTGCATCCGACTCCCCACGTTCTCTGGAACAGAGACCTGCCGACAACAAGCCACGGAGAGAGTACACCGAGCGGGTCAAACGGCTTACTCAGCAGGGACAGCATCTCTCTCCTGGTCTTGGCCACATGGAAGCCAGGCACACTCACTGCGAGCAGGTCCGTGGCGGGGTTCCACAGAAGACCCAGAACGTTGGCCTCGCTGTCAGCGTCACCGGAGATGCGCCGCTTGTGCAACTCCATGCCTGCGTCGCGGAAGATCTCCTCCGCCCGCGACATGCTCGACTCAGCTTCGGCTCTGCTGCAGAAGGAGGTGCACACATCATCCATGTACAGGCCACATTGCAACTTCTCACACAGACCCGGTTCCTCCCCACAGTACAGGTCCAGGTGAACAGAGATAGTTTGCAGCAGCATGAATGGGGAACATGTTATACCGAACGGAACTCTGCGGAAACGAAGACGCTGTCCGTACCACAGAAACTGTAGGTACTTTCGGTCCTCCTCGGATACCGAAACCTGGTGAAAGGCAGCACGTATGTCTGTCTGAGCTCCCACGGCGTCTCGTCTGAAGTTAAGCAGCACGGCAGGCAGACGTCTGAGCAGATTGCTTCCCGGCTCCAGGTAGTCATTCAGGCTGTGGCCAGTGGCGTCCCGGGCAGAGCCGTCGAAGACCACCCGCAGCTTTCCACCGCGCCAGATGCCGCGGTGCGGCAGGTAGAACCCTTGTAGGTCATCGTTGGGCGGCGTCTCGATCACGCCGGCTCTATACAGATCTTCCAGGTGTCTCTGGTACGCTTCCCGCTCGGGGACTGTGAGCCGTCCCTCCATGCGTCTGATCCGGGCTGCTGCTGAGCTGAGGTTAGAGAGGGGGCGATCATCAGACTTCCACAGTAGGTTCATTTCGTACCTCTGTTCGGCGTCACTCCACTTCGGCTTCATCGGTGATCTCTCGTCCTCGTCCCCGGAGATGCCGAGCGCCTCCAGGCTCCAGAGCTGCTCCGGCTTGAAGTCTGGCGACGGAAGCCGGCAGCAACGGAGCGCGTACTTCACAGACGCGCAGTCCACCGGCTCGCAGTCCACCGGTGACCCATCTCGGCCGTGCAGCACGTAGCCGAACACAGTCTCCAGGGCCCTGAGATGGTCAGTCAGTTTCACCTGCTCCCACAACACAACTCTGTACATCAGGTCGGCGCCGATCAACACGTCCACCGGCCCACCCTCAAAATCATCAGCAAGCAGAAGATGCGGTGTAAATACGGCAGTAGGCGGTCGGGCGGGGGTCAGTTGGGAACAAAGACGATCAGTCTTCCAGAGATCGAAGACGTGAGGCTCCCCACCGTGACGGCTCCGCAGAGACAGCCTCACCTTCTCATACATCCTCGGCTCTTCGAGCCGCTCCTGGAAGCCCAGGCAGGCGAACACACCTCTCCCCACCGTGGGCAGACCGAGTAGCTCCGCTGCAGATGTCCTCACGTACGACGAGTCCGAGCCGCCGTCGAGAAGAACGCGAAGCTGGCAGGTACCCCGCGGTCCAGACGCCTCCACCAGAGCTGTCTGCATGTAACACAAGTTTTCGCATGCAGCAGGTCGGTCAGACAGAGCAGCCTCCAGCAGGCAAGCATCAGGTGAGCAGTGAGCGACAGCACACGGCGTCATATGCACGTCTGGCATAGCACAAGCGGTATTCACCCTAGCGGTAGTGCTGGATGATGGCACTAGCGGCTGTGGTGAGACTGGCGTTGGTAAGACTGGCTGTGGCACATCAACAGCGCAAGCAGCGGTGACATTCATGGCCTGGCGGGGAACAGCGGGCGACCAACCTGGACGTTGAGGTTGCTGACCAACTGGCGGTGGCGGTGGCAGATCTGGTAGGTAGCTCCCCTCGCGGCAGGGAGGCAGTTGCTGAGGACGGCTGTCCGCTCGGTGTGCGGGCGGCCGTCGGTCACGGGTACCAGCTCCGGGCTGGCGTCCTGGCTCACTGTGGAGACTGGTGTGGTGTCGCTCTCCACACACACGGCAGTTGGAGCTGCGGCAGTCACGAGCAAAGTGCGGCCCCAGGCACTGATAGCACAAACCAGCCCTCCTCACTACAAGCCATCTATCATCAACAGACATTCTGTGATAGTCAAGACACTTGCTCAGGCCATGTTTATCCTTTTTGCAAGCCACGCAGGTCCATGCAGCACTGGCAGGGGTTGTTCGGTTCCGACTCACCGCCAGCATACTCACTGCGTGCAGTGGGCTCCGTTCCGGAGGGACAGGATGCCTGGCGCCGATGTTGGCTTCCTCCCTCATGTCCATCTCCTTGCGAAGAAACCCGAGGAAGTCCTCCAACCCTGGATCCGGCTGGTGCTGGCGCGCCCATTCGAGCCTCCATGACTCTGGCAGCTTTCCCTTGGCTATGGGCAGAAGCAGGCTCGACAGGTTAGCACAGCTTACTCCCATCGCGGTCAGTGTCCTCACATGTGACATCAGATGGTCTGTGAAGGATCTCATGGCAGATAGGTCGTCACTGACACTTGGCATGTTCAACAACTTTTTCATGATCTCCTCCCTTACTCTCTCGATTTTACAGAATCGGTCTTTCAATGCATCCACAGCTGACTGGTAGCAAGCATCAGACACTGGTATACCTTTAACACATTGCAGTGCTAAACCAGAGAGGTGGCTCTTTAGTATGATGAATTTCTGCACATTCACATACCTTGAATTGGTGTGCACAGCAACCTCAAACAGGTCCCAGAATTCCGACCACTGTAACAGATCTCCAGAAAATACTGGAATCTTTACATCAGATGCCCTCAGGTCAGTAGAGTCAGACTGAGCTGGGGCTGGTTGAGCAGATGCATTCTCAATCCTTGACAGATGACGTTTTGCCTTGAAAACCTCCTCTCTGATGCTATCTAAATGTGAACTCTCGTCAAACACTCCCTTGACAGTCAGAACATCCTGCAAAGAAACCATCTTCTGCTCTAGCTGCTCCAAAACATGAATTTTGTACGCCAAGTCATCTTGATCGACTACTCCTGCCCTGTAGTCTTTCAAGTCACGGGTCAGCTTTGAGGCCTTACCTCTAAGCAGAGTTCTGTCCTTCACCAACACCTCCACTTCCTCACTCATCTTGTCAGGCATCTTGATGTCAAATCACAGCGCAAATCTTCAAAACATCGCAATCAGCAAAGAACAAAGAAGCAAATGACTGAAAAAACAGTCATCCGGCCGCGGAGGACTATGTGATAGATAAGCTAAAATTATAGGCCGGTTCCTCTGGTCAGCAACTTGAGATTCCAACTTCAACTTTTCTGCCGGTTTATTACTCTAAAGCACTGTGGCGGTTCATCGTTCAAATCCAAGGTGTCACGACACACGGTAGCGGCAACACGGCGACAGATGGATCCAGACTGACTAGAAAGGATAAAAACAAAACGAAATCGGCTCGGTGAAAAATGGAAGCATTACATCACTAACAAAAAGTGATGGATTCAGGACAGGGGCGGGCAAATAGAGGAAAGTTTTACTGGGTGAGGAAAGGTAGGGTACATCAACACGGGTCACGGGTGAAGGTAAAAAAGGTAAGAGGCTACTAATCACAACACGAGCCGCTCCTCCCCATCATACCAGCTCGAGCGTGCTGACCTCGGCCCAGCATCCCGTCTGACCTCGGACAGGGAGGTACTCCTCCCTCGGCGCCACTGCCGGGGACGCGCCGTGTAAAAACAGGTGCCCAGACAGCGGGGCGGGCTCGGGGGACGAACCGGCCACGGCGGACCATCAAATATAGTCCACCGTCGTCGTCCGATGCTCCAGGGAATGTGACCTCATATCGGGTGGAATGTCCCCTGTCTGGCTCGGTCAGAGCTCCGAGTGAGTCACGTGTGGTCAGGTGCACTCATTTATCCCGGCCGTGGTCGCTCGGAGGTGTCTCACAATCGCGACATGAGGAGCGGGACGTGACCAGTGTGGGTAACAGCTCTGTCCCGATGAGGAGAGAGAGAGAGAGAGAGAGAGAGAGAGAGAGAGAGAGAGAGAGAGAGAGAGAGAGAGAGACGAGCTAGAGGGTCTGGGTTCATTGGGGGACGTCAGAGACTGTGGTGGTTGGAAGCAGGAACTAAGTGGATGAAATCGTCCTCTCGGCTCTTCGTCAGAAATTAGCCGGCGCATACAGGCAGGAATCAGTGTATTATTGGCCAATCGGGGCGGCGGCGCAGTCGCGTAGGTTATTGCCGCGATGTGTCTTCATCAGTGGCTCTGATTTGTATGCACCGGCAACTGGGTCGTAATTTCGCTTCGTTACGCCTTAATTGAAAGCCACGCGGCTGCGACCGGGCGCGTCTCGCCCGTCTGTCATTAGCGCTGTGTGGATTCTATTTTTTGTCGGACGCCTTTCATTAGAAACTGTCGACGAGCGGCCGTGTTTCGTCGGGTCGCCCCCGAGTCTGTTGATTTGGGGTAAGTGTAGGGGAGGATAGGGCGAGGAAAGGCGTGGCCAAGAGAAGGACGGTCGAAATTTAGACTAAGTTTTGCGGGAGATCTAGAGTTAATGATACGAGACTCGAGAGAAACTTCAGTGGGCCGAAAATAACGTCGAAGGAGCCCCGGAAGGAGATGGAGAAAACCTTGAGGCTGGCATCAGGAGTTTGGAGGAATGTGGTCGAAAAATCCCAGATGAGTTCCATTAGCCTGCGATACCGAGTGGAAACTGACTCTGATTCTCCTTTTCAGAGACATCAGCAACAACGAGATCAAGGTTATCGCACGGGACGCGTTCGCCGGCCTCACCAACCTCAAATCGCTGTAAGTGGCTGCAGGCCGATAAATTACCGTTAGCGTCGCTCGGCCGCGGCCGTATTCATAGACAGAATGGGCGGAAACACAAAAACGGATTGGATGTGATTGAGTGTGATACGGCGCCGCGGTGCCGACGAACCTCTGCTGCATTATACGGCCGTCTATCAGTAGGACGCCGAGAGATGACATGCCCGTATGCATTGAGCAATCTGCCGGGATCGGATCGACCGTTTGGTTCGTATTCCAGCCGGCTCAAACCGTGACCTCTCGATTGTCTGACACGTGTTTTTGTTTCTCTCGACCAGAATTTTATACAACAACAAGATTGAGCAGCTGCCGAACCAGCTGTTCAGCGGGTTGTCGTCTCTTCAGCTGCTGTAAGTGGCCTGTCGGTGGCGGCGGTGTTCGGCTATCGGCCGGTATCGCCGTGTCGACCGCTGTCGCTGCCATTTCCAGTGTCTCCGTTCGACGGCCGCTTGGTCGGAGATTGTCTCCCACCGGCGGGCCGCCTCTCCCACTGTCGTCTGACATATGGCGGCAGCGGCGGCCTCACCGGCATTCAGTGGGCCATTCACACGCACCACCGGCCGGCCGCGATGAAAGCTCATCGCGTGCCGGATCGTCATATTTCTGGGCGCCGCCCGGCCGGCTCGCCGGTATCAATCTTACCCGGTGCCTGTCTGGCCGGCTGATTTAATCTAACGCCGCCCCGGCGCTGGCGAAGGCGATACAAATTGACTGCGTCGCGCAGAAATATTCCGTGCCATCCGTCTGGAAAGCTTTCAATGTGATTTACTGTCCTTGAACAACTCCGTATGAGTTCAGCGGATCCGGAATAGCGCAACTGATTGCTTTGTTCTGAGTGAACGCGCCGGAACCGGAGCTCACCCTTGTCTTTGTCTCTGCCGACAGTCTGCTGAACGCGAACCAGATCAAGTGTGTGGGTGCCGACACGTTTCGGGACCTGAGCAGCCTGACTCTGCTGTGAGTATGCCGACTGACCCAGTGGCAGGGGTGACCCGTGCGGGTGACACACTGACATGACACGCCAGTCAATTCACCGTGACAAGGCGCTGATACGGGACGCTTCAGGATGAGTGATGGGTTGTGCCGAAAACGGTCGGCGCAAATTTGTCGGCAACGGCTGGGGATTATTACATTCAATTGGGTCGTTTCCGCAAAGTTTTAGCCTATATTGTTTTCAAGTATATACGGTTGGAAGATATACGAGTATACTTATGTGCTGAGTGGTAATTAATGTTACAAAGCTCATCATTCATTGATTTTGCAAGAATTTGTGAATTTTAAATTACTTTGTGAATGACCTCTCATTGAAATTGAATGTACCTAGGATATATTTTACAAAACGTCAAATACAGAAATCATAAATTTTCGATCACGGATCTTTGTCAAATCACATTTAAAATTCAAAATTCAAAAATTCAAAATTCATTTTGAATTTTGAATGTTATTTGACAAAGATCCGTGATCGAAAATTTATCATTTCTGTATTTGACGTTTTGTAAAATATAGTTATCCTACATGCAATTTCAAGGAGAGGTCATCCACAAAGTAATTTAAAGTACAAATGCTCCTTGCACAAGCACTAAGAAGACTGAAAGAATTTGTGAAGGTTAACTTACGTTCAGCACACAACTGGCTATCGTTGAAACTCCTTTCTCGCCTCATTGAATCACATGGACTCTCCGCCCGTTCTCTCGCTCCGTTCTCGCCACCCCTGCGGGATCTCGGGCACCATGTCATTGCTGTTAACACGCCACGTGCTATCTTTAGCGCATCCCCTTGAACCTGGCTATCCACTCACGAAGCATTCCGTGACGGACCATTCATGACAAAAGCTCATGATGAGTTAAGAGATAATCTGCGACGAAAATCGCTAGATGCTGTTTAGCAGCCGTGACGGTGCCTTATGGAGGATTTCGTGACGACAATCCACAAAGATTCCTGATGACTCAGTGCGATAAGCGATAGGGAATACGGCTCGTGACGTCACTTCGTGAAGAGCTCGTGACGAGTTCTGTGACGAATTCCATGACGTATTTTTGATCGATGACCATAAGCAGCTTCACTGTTATCCCAGAAGCTGGTCGATAAACCGTGATTGATCGACTTCCTTCACTGAAAACAATTTAACCCAAGGCTGGCGAGTAAACCGGTGTTTTACGGGTACCCCTATCCGCAACCATTTTTAACCACCCTCCCAGGAGTAGTGCTAGGTCCCATTGCGGTGTAGTCGTACTTGATCTGAGCGGATATAACCGCTGTCAGCGAACAAGTCCGCTGAGAGCAGGGACGACTACACTGCAATGGGACCTTACTGTACTCCTGGGAGGGTGGTTAAAAATGGTTGCGGATAGGGGTACCTGCAAAACACCGGTTTACTCGCGGGCCTTGGGTTAAATTGTTTTCAGTGTTTGGTCACATGACCACCTAACATCTTCATTACAAAGTCCGACTATGTGCGCGTTATTGAAATTCTATGCAGATAACGTCGGTAAGTGGTGTGGCCGCCGGCCGGGCCCGCGGCTGGGTCCATCGCAGACGGCGGACCCAATCGTTATGACCGGCCGATCAGCGATCGGAGGTGATAGTCGGGGCCTAAGTGGCGGCCCGGAGACGAGGGAGCTCACCGCTCCGGCCCCGGGGTGCCGGCCGAGCCGTCGGACCGGGCGCGATCGCCGGTCGTACCCAGGGGGTGGTCCGAGGTCCATACCGCCGTCTGTACCCGCCGGCTGGCGATATCGACCTGTGGCAGTGGATCGAAGGTCATCCCGTCCCGGAGGGAGGGGAGTTCCAGTGGGTAACGATAACCAGCAGAACATCATAACCCGCGCCCGGCTGGGGGTCCTGGATTTCCACGCCCTGCTGGGGGGGGGGTGTCTGAACACCCCCCCCCCCTTCTAACTCGGCTCCTGGGCCACGTAGCGATACGCGGAAGGCGGCGTTCGAAAGAGCGTCAAAAATAATGACGAAATCACTTAGGTCAATTTTTTGGTCAGGTCAAAGGTCAGGTCACCAGAGGTCATTGAAGGCAAAATTTCGCCGATTTCCATGTCGAATGTCGACAATTTCCAAGATGCCAGCGCATAACTCGGGAACCAATAGAGCTACAGCGCCGCGGAAAAGCGCATTCGATAGCCCTATTAACGCCCTTTCTGAGTAATTCTCTCAGATTTGACCTAACGTCAACGGTTTTGCCTGCAGGGGGCAAAAACTGCAAAAATAGCCGATTTTTTCGGAAACAGTTTTTCTGCAATAACTTTTGACCCAAGCCTTGCACGAGCTTACTTTTACCGGCATCGTGTTCCTCTCGTCAAGACGCATCGAATGAACTATAACTTGACCTTGAAAGGTCAACTTGAAAATTTGACCTCAGGTCAAGGTCATGACCTGACCTGAAAGGGTCATATTGCATATCAGTCGATCCGTATCGTCGAGCTGAACACATCTAATGCGTTTTCATCGCTCTAGCATGCCTCTATCAAAAGTTATTTGCGAAAAACTGTTAGATACCATTCGTGACCTAAGATGACCTCAGGGCATAAACAGGGGTCACGGACACCATTTTCATGTTCAGTGTGTCTAAACCAGTTGTAATTCAGTGTTTGGGAGTGTTTATAATGTGTTTCGTCCAAAAGAGGCGCATTTCAATTTTCTCCCATTGACTTATAATGGGGAGGTCGCAAAATTGACCTGACCTTAGGTCATCGATATCAAAATTCTGAGATATACATTTTGTACGTGCTATTACTCTTAGCAATCGCTGAAAGTTTCAAAGCGATCGGTCACTCGGTGTAGCTATGACGGACATTGAAACTTTTTATGAGGTGAGGTCACTTCAAGTGACCTGGTGACCTGACCTTGAATGACCTTGGTCTGAAATTTTCACAACATGTGTAGAATTGATGTACAGGGTGTCCAGAAAAAAAAGATACTACGGAAATTAAGTCGCATTCATTAACGCACGAGCCGATTTTGTTTCAACTTCATGTGCTTATAGTGCAAGATTTGGCAAAACTTATGAGCACTGCAATGCGTCGTTGGAAAGTTGTCTGCCTGCCCTCCGAGATAGTCAACATGACCATCAGTCACCTGCAGACTGTGCTAGTGCTGGAGCTGATCCGCCGTAAGGCCGCTCACATTGAGTATCTGCTTTGAGGAGCTGCCGCGACTAACCAAAGAGTTTACATGCCATGTGGCACCTGCTGTCTGTTTTGCCATATTTTTGCGAATACAAGCATGTGCCATTTTAAAATGTAAGGTGTTTATTTTCGGAATTACAGCAAAAAATAATAGTATCCGTTTTTTCTGGACACCCTGTATGATAAGGTGTACCAAAAACGGCGGCGCTCCGCGCCGCCGTTTTTGAGATATTCGCGAAAAACCACAAGGGGGGGGTGTTCAAACACCCCCCCCCCCCAGCAGGGCGCGGGATAACAAACTCTTCACTCACACGAACGGTCTCAGGAGCCATACCGGTGGGCTGAATTTAATTTAGTTTAGACTACTTTAGACACACCTGTCCCGTCTGACGGTCTCTCGCCAGTCTCTCGGTCGGTCTTTCGTCGGTCTCCCGCTGATCTTCCGCCTCCTGCATCTGCCACGAACGTGCCTGCTTATCCCAATCACCTCCCCGTTAGCCAGACGGTCATGCACGAATCATCGATCGAGAGCAATCGTCGAAATGTGTGCCATCGTCCCGTGCACCACTACAGCAGCGAAGAACAGAGAAAAGTGCGCGGTCACCGCTCCGATGAAGCACATTAACTGCGCGCACAGGAATGCGTCGCCCTTTCATTCGGGCGCGTAACGTGTAATTTGACATAATTTGTCGTATAATTTGTCGTATAAATTGCTATTATTACTCTGGGAGGCGTCGGACGGTAGCCAGAAGCGAGCAAAGTTGTTACAGAAGGGAACGCGGCTGTTACAGGTAGCTGGACCGCCTGACTCAGCGTTGACCTATGAACCCAAGTAATTACGCTTTGTGTGGAATTTCATAGATAATTTAGGCACAATTTCATGCATTTTAACGCATTATTACGCAATCTTTTCAAACATGGTGAATAAAAGTTAAAGATAGAGTGCGAAACTTAATAGCGATGCATGAAGTTTGCGCTGGTTATCGAGTTAATAAAAAACATTCATTGGTGTATCTGCATATGTGGTCGCAACCGTAAACAGCTACAGCCAAAGCACAGCCAGCAGCCGGCTTGTGGTGCTGTTGATATTGCGAGGTGCAGCTGAACGTGTTCCATGATACTTGATACATTCCATCGAGATGATGCCCCGCAGTTAGAGATGGCATGTCACTGGAGGGAACCGCAACATGCCTCGAGATGACGATGGCCTCGTTCGTGCAGCGCAATTGACTTGTAAATTGTGACACTGTCCATATCGCCGATGAGTGTCATGTAATCAGCGCCATTAACTCTCTCTTGTATTGCAGGTCGCTGTATGATAACAAGATCAGTAACCTGCCCAACAACACATTCAGCTCGCTGCTTGGCATTCAAACCCTGTAAGTACTTGTCGACAGGAAGCGTTTTTCTGTCCGTTTTTCCGTTGTCCTGTCGCTCCATATAGCTGTCCGAACTGTCGCCGCCGTCCCGAGGCTGTCTCCGTGTGTCTCTCAGTTTGTCTCTGTGAGTTCCGTGTGTCTCCGAGTGTCTCTACGAGACCCCACTGGCTGGGAGTCGATGGTCCGTGTGGCTCTATCGCCACATCGCCGCCTGTCGCCCGTCCATCCGTCTCTCTTCCCGTCTATTTCCTGTCCCGGCTCGGCCGCAGTCGTGCCGTATCACAGGTGTCAGTCCGAGAGAGACAGAGACGCCGCCGGCGCGACTGCGGCAAAAGTGACGCGCTGACGGCTCCATCGCGGCGCGGTGACAGCCGCCGCGGCGCCGCCGCTCGCCGCAGTTAGACGAGAACTGGCGCGGTGAAGACGAGAAGAGCCGCTGACATGTGTGTCATGTTTTAAACATGTCGCGCCTGTCTGAATATTCACCGGGCGTGCGTACGACTAACGTTTGTGTGTGTCAGTGTTTCTGTGAATGATTCATCGAAGTTTGGAGGCACCCGAGGCGGGTCGCGTCCCACGCAGGGCGGGTCATTCTCCGAGTGGCCACATGTCTTGTCAGGAATACATCTTGTCTCCACCCTGATAGGTAACTTGTACTGCCCGAGGTAATGCTGATAGGTCAAAGGAATGCCTCGTTTTAAAATTTGATGTAAGCTAAATAGACATGGGTGATTTCGTAGCTGTATCCAGCAAAGGTTGGAATACCCAACACTTCGAATGTCCCAAAATAGGATGAAAGTTTTAAAGGACTTGGGACAGAAGAAATAAAATAAATTAAGAATTTTTCACAGTAGCGCTAGCATTCTTGCCACGTCAACCATTTGGAGCCGATTAATGAATTCGCCGATGGTGCATCATCGGCCTCATCTCCGTGCGCTCACTCTCAACCGCTCACTGGAATAGTGCGGGCTTTGTTAGGACGCGCCGGTCGGCTCGCAATCAATTGGCGGCGCCGGCGGCGGGTCATGGCGTATGCTTGTTTTAATAGGGAGTCGCCCCTCAGAGTCGCCGCCGAGTCATGACTCAGTGTCAAGAGCTGCGCCGGTAACGTATCAGTGAGCCATTAGCGCCGCGCTGCGTCGGATTGCAGATGTTTATTTGGTCGCGTGACACTTGTGTCAGTTATAAGCGCACTGTAATCGATAGAGTTCTGCTATACCGACACTTCTGTGAGCTTAGGTCAAGGTCGGAAATGAAGCATCAAATTAAATTACGAGATGCATCTTTAACATTATGACTTAAGCCTCATTTAGACTTTCCAATCGCTTGGCCACAAAACGTACGAACAGTTCATCCATGCTTGTTTTCACCAACCAGCTTATACGGACCCCTACCGATTCAAATGACCCGCCGAGCTCCACTAATGACCATCCGCGGCTGTCCGTTGGTCACGACTGCTCGGAGTCTCCACTGTCTGACGCACGAGGTGAACGAGTATGTAGATAGAGGCTCAGCGCTGTCCGACACCGGACAGCGGACATGCCGGGCGGACAGTCGGACAATCCGTCACTGGGGATGAACCTCAGGAGGGAGAGCAGATTAGAGGGCGTGGCTCCGGCCTCTGATTAGTCTGGTGTAACAGCTTAAAGTTAGTGGGTGATTTTTAATGAGAAACAATTAATTTATCTTATTTGTTTATCCAAGTATTGGACTGCCGTTCAAAAGTTGCATCTTGACTAAAAGACCAAAAGGTACACACAAATGTAATCTAGAGAATTACTTGAAATCGAGTTTATCTCCAAATTATTTGTAGTCTCACCCAGGCCTATGACAAACGTCATAATTGCGCTTATTCCGTCCTTTTTCATCCCTTTTGATTTCTCTGTAAATAACACAAGCGAATAAGGTCACTGAACGTACTGATGACTGGAGCTCATTCACTTCTGTGCACTCCTGACCAACCTCACGACACTCTGCTTTATCGGGGCGTGTCAGGCGGCATCCCATGACGACACCGTGCTCCCAATCTGTCGGCGGGGACAGTACCACAGACCTATCCATCTCACCACTGGTCGGCACCCCCGGAGCCCCGCCCGGTGGGCCGTGAACCCCGTCTCCGTCCCCTGACCGATCGCCGAATCAGTCACGGCAAGCCGCATACACGTCTGGCTCTGCCGGGCGTTTTATCGCGCGGCATAAAGGCGACGGATGACGGCCTCCCGACGGCCCTGCGACGGCCCTGTGACGGCCCTGCGACGCTCGCCGTGTGGCCAGGGACGTGACTGTATGAATGGAGAGCCGCCGCGCCGCGCCGCCCCGCGTGAGGGCACGGCGGGAGGCCAGATCATCCGCGGGATACGTTTGTGTGCGCATGACGGGCGTTAAAGTCCGCCCGCGCTGGGAAAAACAGACGCCGGGGAGGGGCGCCGAGCGGGCGCCGGGAGGGTGCGCGGGGTGGCACCCGGACACTGGGCACAGAGGGGCGTCCGGCGACATCCTTCAACGCCTCTGCAGGCGTCATCAGCACCCCATCGGCGCCCCATCGGTGGCGGCGGCCGCGCGTGCGTCGCATAGCTGCGGTCGCCGGTTCCGCGTGTTTCCAGGAATGTTTGTCATGCGTCTGACGCGACTGACGACAGTTGGTGGTGTGATGGTCGGCGGATGCGGCGCCGATGGCAGTGGAGGAGGCGGAGTCACCGGTGGATGACTCGGTGGCGGATACAGCGGCCGGTCGCAGAGACAAATTTACGACCTCGCCGCGTCACCGCCGGCGGCGACTGCCTTTTTACGGCTCTGAAAAACGACGGCTTATCGGCACACAGGCCGACAGACTCACGGCCGAGACTCGCCGAGACCTGGCGTGCCGGCAGTCGATTAGACCGCGCCGGTCGACCGAAATTGGTCCCGGCCCCGGACCAACACGCTCCCTTGCTGAAAAAGTGGCCCAGCTGCGGTTTTTCTGCGCTCGGTTTGTTCTGGGAGCTCACTGCCTACAGAGCGTCGAGTTATGGGCCGGCGGTATTTAGCATAAGCGATTTAGCACGCTCCGTCGGTGCGACAGTGGCTCGTTTGGACGTGTGTCTGACAGCCGTGAGATTTGGCCGCCTCTGAAGCCGACCCGGCCCGACAGTTTCTGAGGCCAGCCGGAACAGCCGCGACTGCCCTTTGATTCGTGCAAACCAGGCATGAATCAAAAGCACGAAGTGCTCGCTGGATACACGGTGCGCTTGGCACACCTTCGTGTCAAGCGATGACGGGTGGCGCGTGAGACCCATGGATACATGCAGCATGAGATGCATGGTGTGGAGTGGGTATGAGAGATGGAGACATTCACAAACGGGCACCACTCGGCCGAGGGTGGAGGCGCCCGGATAAGACCCTACGCGCAACGCCCATTGCCGCTCCATTTGAAGGAAGTCGCACAATGGCGGGTGGCCGGAAAATGCCTCCGCTGTCTTGCGTCCGCTCCCATGGCTACAATCTACAGATGATTGTCCCGTCGTTCGTTCAAATGGAGTTCCTGGTACCGCCCACGTGAGTTGTATTGTATGCGGCGAAGAGACAGCGGGAGGGTGATGCTAAACGAAACACCGTTACCGCGTGAGATATTTACGGCTGCGTTCGCAGAGTCGGGATAAAAATACCGCTTGAATGTCCTGCACTGATAGCTGTGATTGAACGCTGCGCTCCATTTTCCTGACCAATTCATGTGACAAGAAATGAGTTCGAAACGTGCTCCTGGCACCTGACGTTAATCTTCTGGACATCAAAATATTTCCGCGAAATTTTATCATCGTTCAATTCACAGAAGACAAAACACTGACTTCTTGCAATCCATTATTTCTTAATCGGACGAGGAAATATGAGTCATGCAAGTGATATTTTCGTGTCGCATCGGTGCTGTCATGGGCGAGAATGTCGTTTCGCCACCCGCATTAGCTAGCCAACATCACCCATTTAGCGACCGAATCAGTGGAACGGAAAAACAAGCAAGAGTGTTTCCATGGAAAACCACCAAAAGCGTGTTGGCGTGCTAACCGATCGCGATTGAAATCCGGCAGTGTACCGCGAACGCTCTGCGCTCGAGTGTCCGTATTTCGGACAACACCCTTCCATGAGTGTCCGGATTCCGAGCTAAAGCAGACCTGTAGGCGGATTCCAAGCCAGAGCGGCTCACGGAGTGTCCGAATTCCTGTCGGCTTGGGCTGGTCGTTTGAATGGAGGCGCACTGACGGCGGCTGACGCGGCCATCTCAGTGGATCGGGAGGACTGAGGGTGAGGGCCGCCGGAACGGGCAGAGTGCGAATTCCTTCAGATAGCTCTCAGGTGCCTCCCGTCCATTCAATGGCGTGCACAAGCTTTTCTGCTCTCCAACGGCACGAATGCTGCTTGCTATTGCGAGAAGGAATACGGACGCCGATCTCCTTATATGCCTGCTGACTGGTCGTTTTGCCGGAATTTTATCCACCAGCCAGTCCTCCTCCAGGGATGACAAGCGTAAACCGCTCAATGTTAATGAACTATTTTCAAACTGTGTGATTAATAGCGTCTGGAGCCGGGGCAAGTGGTGAGAGATGGCGCTACAGGAACCCCCGCGGATGGGCGACTCGAAACGAATGGGGGCCACCCGTGCAAGGTCACTGGCGGAACGACTGATGGTCGGCAGATCGCACAACACCGGCCGATGACTGGTGCGCCAGGCGGTACCTAATGATCCTCCGCTGCCAGAGATGCAACAAATGGGGGAGCGAAATGGAGCGGGAGCTGCCGCCGATGAAATGTGAAGATTGAAAACGACGTGTTCTGTGGAGAGTGCTGGGCGCAGAGAGAACAATTGTGCATTATAAAATATTTATTCGGTATTTTCTAAATCATTGTTCTCTTGTATCCAGAGTCATTGCAGTTATTTCTTTCGAGGATGGGGAGATCAGTCAATGAAGATGAATAATAAAATTCGAGGTGAAAATGTTATTGCATGTATGTTTAATGTTCCCATGACCTGTATGATGTGTCGCTGTCGAATATCTGTATTTCTGTATGTCAATTTGTGTCGACCGTCTCGTAAACCGACTGGACGATATGTAAACGTTTAATTGTTTTTCTGTCTGTATGTGTACAGGGTGATTTTTTTACAGGGCAAAAAGTTTTTAAGCCTAGAGATACCAAAACATATAACAAACGCGAAAAAAGTATATCCATGTGAAAGGAAATTGTTTGTCGTTTTGTTTTCAGGACCTTTTAAAGACTTCTTGGGACTCATTCTGTTGTGAAGTTCCGTGAAAATGGCGCACAACAAAATGTTTTCCCCAAAATCGCCAATTACTCCAGGCTTGCGTGCATTAAAACTGTGCTCACTTCGAGCACGTTCTGTAAGCCTAAACGGAGCTCAAACTCAAAAATTGTGTGTGCAAATGAAATGTCAGAATGTGCTTATTACAAAGATATACATTTGCTGTCAGTTGATGTGTTTTCTGGTACCGCCATTGCTCTTTACTTTTTGCCCTGTATAAAAAATCACCCTGTAGTTAAAAAGCGTGCATAAAGCCATCCTCTGAGACTGACCCCGCGTACCTGTGCGTCCGGCAGTCACCTGGGTCGGAACCCGTTCATGTGCGACTGCCACCTGGCCTGGCTGGTCTCGTTCATTCAGCAGCGGCCCGTGGAGACGTCGGGAGTCCGCTGTGCCGGCCCGCGCAGGGTCCAGAGGCGCCGGCTGGCAGCCCTTCAGGTCAACCAGCTGCAGTGTGAGTAATAGGACACCAGTCTCTTCTTCGTTTATCCAGCTTCTGTTTGGCATCGATTTTGCATGGGGATTAGAATCGTGTGGGTATTTTTGTGACTACAAGATGCAATGGAAAAATAGAGTCGCACCATCCAATGTCGCTTGGGATAAACAGATACATAGGTTGCAGCATATTGACATGCGACGAAAGATCCGCATACCGGAATTTCCACGGGTTATTATATTTTATTTCGAAGGCATGTGTTAAAGTTGACATTTAAATGGATTAGCCGTCTTTAGTGGTTATTTGTTTTTCATTCTCATAAATAATGTTTTTATCGAGAGAAAAAAAACAGGCGAAGTCGAGACGGTGGTGGCAAGTCGTATTAGCTGCGTAGTGCGTATGCCGACTAGTGGTAAGACTTGGTCCAGCTGAAACATCACATTTCATGCGACTCAAATAAAAGGATTACCTATTATGCCTACATCGTGTAAGTTAACATTAACGTCGAAGCGAACAGATTTAATCCACACAACTTGTATTATTTGATAATTTATATCTCAATCAGTTAGCCCACAGTCCAATTACGTCGAAGCCATGAGGTTCTTAACCTACAGCGAAGTTCATTCGTTAAACTCTGACACTATCCAAAGCATGTTCACAATTAAGGCACTCGTGCCCGCCCGGTCGGCTCGTCAGCAAGCTTGACGAGCATGTTTTACAGGTCGGGCACTTCTTTGACAAGTACCTGTGACTGATAATCATTTAGCTGCTGATGGCTGATGAAATTATAAGCCCAATAAACTGGACATCGTAATTAGTCATTTCTTTCCGCGGCCGTAAACCGCTGATTGCTTGGGCTGTAACTTTGATGACCTGGCCACCCGACATGGCATGGCGACGACTCGTCACTGCATGCACGGAACGGGGAACGGAAGTGCTAACGGCCGGCCGTTTTGACCTCCCGTCAGGTCCCAAGGACGAGAGCTCGCCGTACCACGAGTGCCTGCTGAAGACTGTCGAGTGTCCCGACCGGTGTGTGTGCTTCGGCACGACCGTGGACTGCTCGGGAAGGGCGCTGAAGAGCATCCCCGACCACATTCCCGGCACCACGACACAGCTGTGAGTACGGACTGCGGACTGTGTGTTAATTGCTCTGTCATTGTTAAAATGTCCATTTCGTACCCGACAACGTCCAGTAGACATGGTTATCAAGCTATACACGAGTGATAAAAAATGAAGTGGCAACACTTGATTTTTGTAATGCATCGGTGACTCAGTGGCATAAGTATCCATCGAACTCTATCATAAGTGTTGCGTTATTTATATCAACACTGACCGGCAGGATCCTGAGCAACAACGAGATATCGAGGGTCCGCGCATCGCCCGGCTTTTCCGACCTCCGCTACCTGAAACGTCTTGACCTTGGGGTCAACCTGATCGAGAGCATTGAGGACGGCGCGTTCGCCAACATGGACGCCCTGGAGGAGCTGTGAGTGGGGGGGGGGGACGCTGCAGGTGTCATCTCGATTCTACGTGTGTGTCCTTTGTGAATATTATGTACGAGATGGGGGTTTTCACATTTCGTTCGTTAGATGTATACTGTGTTGATTTGACGTCTAGTATCTTAACAACAGCGCTATTGTCTTGTCACTTCGCTGACTGTAGAATGGCTATCTGACACGCAGCTTAATTTGTTAAAGTGGAATAGTTTCTCCGTAAAACATAAGACAGGCTAGTGAATAGTATTACTGAAGCTCTGACTGGCATGTTGGCCGTTTCTCTACTTGTCCTATCGCCTAAGAATAACCGAGAACCTGTTCCCGAGGGTTTCCAACTTCATTCGGTAGCCAAGTGACAGAATATTCCTTACGCAACTTCTGTTTCGTGTCGTAACATAAAATGAAACACGTGATATCTTGTTCCTCTTGTCACTTGCCCTCCACGGACGGCTTCCTACTGCACCAGCTTACACGCAGTAACTGACAACGGATATTGTTTCAGAATTCTGTCGGAAAACGAGCTGACCCGTATCCGGAGTGGAACGCTGCGCGGTCTGAACGGACTGCGACTGCTGGCTCTCAACCACAACAAAATCAGCTGTCTGGAGAGCAGCGCCTTCAAACATCTCAATCAGCTGGAGACGTTGTAAGTTGCCGCCGGCGCATTATTTATAGGTTATTATTTAGCATGACTGCATTCCACAGGAGAAACAGTAATGGTACACTCCTCCAAACCGCTCATGTATCAGCTCAATTCAAAGGTAGGGCTCGGATCTGGAGCATATGTCTATTTGCGAAGATATCCGGAGGTGGAAAATAGCAGCTATCTCGATAAAGACGCTGGTCCCGTTCGCCGGTAGCACTCATGAACGGCATATAAAGAGCACCTGTTGAGAAAATGACACATTGGCAGTCGTTTGTTTTCCTTTCTGCAACATCAACACATGCTGATGCTCCCTCTAACCGGCTGATGATGCATGGCTTGCCCTGACTCAGCAGATCGAGTCCAGTCACCTCTGTGTTATATTATACCGTCATTGGACCCATAATTTCTCTCAAAGCGGACCCTGGACTAATCTCTTTGACTGAACCCTGCTGCAGACCCCAACTTCTTTTTGAAAGGTTATTTGCCAGAACTCCACTTTCTCTGAGTCAGATGCTAAACTCATCCCCGAACAGACCCTGACCAGACCCCCTTCACTTCTGATAGGACCCTGAGGCCTGACCCGACTCTGTCCGTGTTTCCAGTGACCTGCAGTCGAACCCTCTGGCGTGCACGTGCCGTCTGCGCTGGATGACTCAGTGGCTGCGGGTGAAGCTGAAGGACAACCTGCAGGTGGGCTCGCCGACCTGCGAGCTTCCCGACCGGCTCCGGAGGAAGCCGCTGACGCACCTCACCGAGGACGACTTCCACTGCGACGGTGAGAGGCGGCTCACATGGAGAGGCCACTGCAGTGTATATTTCTCAGTCCATAGCGCATTTTACCGCATAGAAGCGCCAAAGTAAATATAAGCCGTCTATTCTATATCTGTCGTGAGCTCGCTTCCCACGTGAAAACAGGGAATAAATTATGGCCCGTTCTGTGTTTATATCATAGGGTAGTTTTCAAGAGTATTCTCAACACGCGGGATCATTTAGGACCAACAAACGACTTTTTAGCCTGTCCTGTCATGACTGATGTATGCTTCCTGCGACCGCAGGGGGCGAGCGAGACGACGACGGCTGCACTGCCACCGACTACTGTCCCCACGGCTGCACCTGTGTCGGTACCGTGGTCCGCTGCAGCAAGGCCAAGCTGACTCACCTGCCCGGGGGCATCTCCAGTCGCACCACAGAGCTGTGAGTGCCGGGCTGATGGTGGCTTACGAAGGCGTAAACATAATTATCCAGTTTACCTAGCTTTAATAGCTGACTAGTTTATCCTTTTTGCTCCATCAATTATTGTTCGAACGCAAGACATATAATGTGTCCACTTTAAGCCGTCCATTTCCGACAAACTTTTACCACCTAACAAGCTATCGTATATCATTTGTCCAGTCCCATCCGCTAAAATTTCACGGCCCTTCTCACAGCTACCTGGACAACAACCAGCTGGAGAGCGTGTCGTCATCAGAGCTGCGTCACCTGCGAGCGCTGAAACGTCTCGATCTAAGCAACAACGGCATCATCGCCATCGAGAACGGCACATTCGCGCAGCTGGAGAACCTGGAGACCCTGTGAGTGACCAGCTGGTAGGACGAGAACCGTAGCGTGTCAGGTCAACAGTGGGCGTCCGGTAGATGCACCGAATAGGGAACACCATAACTGCTCAGCGGGCTATCAATTCATCGACAGCATATGAACACAATTGAAATGTCATGTCAAGATCATATCCGCTCTCTTACAATCCGCTTGCAAATGTAGCTCGCTCGAAATCGCCCACGCCGCAGCGATGTGTCTCTGAACCGTGTTTGTGTCTGTTGACAGGCTGGTCAGCTTCAACCGGCTGCAGTGTCTCGAGGTGGGCGCTCTGGAGGGTCTGCGCTCCCTCCGCGTGCTCAGTCTGTACGGAAACAACCTCTCCCAGATTCCGAACGGAGCGTTCAACGAGCTCACCTCCATCACGCATATGTGAGTGAAAGGAAAATGTCAGCTCACTAGACTTCGTACATACGAACGCATGCCAAAGGTGCTATTCCATAGTTCATTTGTTTGTACTAGAATTATTACATCGAGTTACATTAGAGTGAACCTGAGATCTATCCCGGAGTCTGGTACTGGATCTTATCCCGAAAGACGAGACGCGTATACGACGTCTTTTAAAATGTCATTCATGCGACTTCTGAAAAAAAAATGGTTCACTGCAGCCAGTTACGCTGTGGCTCTTCTGGTTGATTGCATCCTGTGAGTCTTATCACCAAATACTTTTTTCTTACTCTGCCATATGTGTCGATTTCAGAGCATTGGCACTGAACCCGCTCTACTGCGACTGCCAACTGCGCTGGCTGGCCGTCTGGGTGAAAAAGGACTTCCGTGAGCCTGGCATTGCACGCTGCTCCGGTCCGCCACGAATGAACAACAAGACCGTGCTCGCCGCCAAACCGGATGAGTTCACTTGCACAGGTGGGTGCCCAGGATTGTGCACACGACTTATGAACTGAAAAAAAATGTAAACCTTGACGATTTTGCTCTCAGGTGTCTGTCTCAAGTGTCTCACGGTGTTCTTGAGCGTTATCATACACTTACATATTTCCTCCTTCACTCAGCTATGATGTGTTTCTAATTCTGACTGATGTCACCTCTACAGGAACGCCGGTGCCGGACGATATTCTGGCCAAGTGCGACGTATGCCACGGGGACCCGTGCCGCAACGGAGGCACGTGCCAGGCGGGCCGCGGCCGCACGTTCTCGTGCCAGTGCTCGCTCGGGTTCTACGGGGACACGTGCGAACAGACGATCAACGCGTGCTACGGCACGCCGTGCGCCAACGGAGGCACCTGCAAGATCGTCCAGGAGGGACGCTACAGGTCAGCAGAGCAGAGTGGTTGGGGACTATTATGGGGGATGTAATTTGACGATGGTACTATCCCGACGGTTGAAAGTGTAAATTGTATAGTTAGACATTAAATCTTAACTTTGCCGGTTTTGTACGCACAGTTTGGATGTTCTTTAGTTTGGCTGTTGAACCATAAAAAGAAGCTAGCCCAAACGGTAGAAAGTAGATATAAATGTTGAGGTTTCCCTGTCTGGCTCATAAACACCATTAACTAAATTTTTGAATAGTTCGTCTATTCAATCAAACATTCACAACTATGCGTTTGATCTCACTCTCTTGAAACGCTGTTTATGGGTCTAAAACGTTTACCCTGCTGACCTGAGGGTGACCTTTCCTGACCGGCAGCTGCCACTGCCCGACTGGGTTCTCGGGAGCCCACTGCGAGACTAATGTGAACGACTGTGAGGGCAACCGGTGCTCGGAGAATGGAGAGTGTGTGGACGAGATCGGACGCTACTGGTGCAGATGTCGGCCAGGGTACACCGGTAAGGAGGAGATAGTCTGAAAGAATGCTTTGAGAAAGATCTATTCTTTTACCTATGACGTAACTCGTAAGCAAAGGCTGAAGAGAATGTCTTCTGCGTGTGAATCTTCACAATAGACTGGAAAGGTTTGGAAAGAACAAATGCCAGCACATTTGGGTGCATATTTCACAAATAAAAGAAGCATAGCGAAGCAAAGCTCATTTTTCAGCGCTTATTGCTTAACAAACGTTCAAAGCAGCAATTTAATTACCACAGAATGACTATTTAACTATTATAGACGTGCTTTGAAATTGTTTCTTTGCACCGACAATTCATTTGTGTTCAATGGATGCACTTCTGTCGTTCGCAGGCGAGTTTTGCACGCACCGTATCGAGTTCTGCACGGCGTTCAACCCGTGTGCCGCTGGCTCCACGTGCAACAACAAGATCACCGACTACACGTGCACGTGCCCTCCGGGCATGTCTGGCAAAAACTGCACCGACAATGTGGACAACTGCGCCGCCAACCTATGTCAGGTCAGCACTGACGGGACTCTTGTGACTCTTGTCGGGACTTCGGGAGGCTTGTAACAATGGGGCCTTCTCTTAACAATACATATGTCATGGCGTCATGCTCAAAGCCATCATTCTTCCGGGGGTTGCGCTTCTTAGACTTTGGTGATAGCGCTCTTGGTGTGAGCGTTCGCACACTGCGTTATCTCCGAGTGCATTGCTGAGTTCCCGTCTCACACTCTTGTCTCGGATTTTCCAGAACGGCGCCACGTGCGTGGACGGCGTGGGCAGCTACTCGTGCCGCTGCCCTCCCGGCTTCGGCGGCCAGTTCTGCGAGCAGGGGCCCTCCATCACGCTGATGCAGCAGACCTCGCCCTGTCAGCAGAACGAGTGCAAGAACGGCGTGTGTTTCCTGCCGCGTGGCTCGCAGGAGTACCGCTGCCGCTGCAAGGAGGGCTACACAGGTGAGGGACGGGGTGCACGAGCTGTGATCTGTGGGGTGAAAGCGTTTGTTTCTTAGAACGTTACAATGTGCCTGCTCCGTTGTACCGAGTGAACTAGCTGTGCTATGAAATAATTCATATTTGTGCGTGAATAGTTTTTCAGTTGACCCACACATATGTACACAATGAGTCGTCTTTCGGAAACAAAAATGGGACACAGTATTTTTGCCCACTTTAAGTTGTGTGATAAATTTGCCTTTATGCATGCCCGCCGTTTTTAGGCTAACGAATGTCGTGACACTTACTTGCATGTACTAACTATGCTAGTTGCCGTGAACTTATTCTCACACTTCACCCACCATTTTCTCCTCAGGGAAGTACTGCGAGCACCTGACCAGCCTGGCGTTCGGCCACACCAACGGTTACGTCGAGCTCGACCCGCCCAAGTCGTCGGCTCACAGTAACGTCACTGTGGTACTGCGCAGTCGACAGAAGAACGGTATCGTCTTGTACCGCGGCGGCGGTCGGCAGCATCTGGCTGTGGAGCTGTTCAGGGGACGGCTGAGGGTCAGCTATGACCTGGGCAGCTCGCCCGGATTCACAATGTTCAGTCTGGCGGTAAGTGGAGTGGGGGAGGAGGAGTGTCGTTCGTGGGGCGATGTGGATGTATGTTGGGTCGGAATTAGGGTTCGGGACTCCACACACAAATAGGCGGTCAGTTGCTGAACTAGTGTCCGTGGTTTCGTTTGGATCCCATGAAATTGGCTGTAAAAAGTAGGCATGAATTGGTATGCTCAGAGAAGATATTTATGTATGTATGCAGTACTTGCATATGCGATGACGACTTTCTTTTATGCATTCCCGAATCCTCACGTCGTTCCCTCGCTCTCGACTTTCTCAACCTACCAACGCGCACCTTCATCTCACTACCCTCCCCGTTTCTGCGGCAGGTTCTGTCGGACGGCCGGCCCCACACGGTCGAGATGCTTACCGAGGGCAGCAACTTCACCTTCAGGGTGGACGGCGGACACCCCCGGCCGATCGTCAATCCCTCCGAGCAGGGCTCCCTGGACGAGTCGGAGCCGCTCTATGTCGGAGGCCTACCCATGGAGAAGGCTACCTATGCCGTGCGCAACTGGCAGCTGCGCAACACAACCAGCTTCAGAGGTGAGGACAGGGTGACTTCAGCGGCTGGTGGTGAAATTAGTGGGGGTTAGACGGCTGGATGAGGCTGGTCATAGGAGCGCAATGTTACAGCTGTCCCCCGTGTTCCAAAAGGCCACTGACCGCACCACCTCTCTGTCATTCCGCAGGATGTATGATGAGTCTGTACGTGGACGACCGGTGGATAGACTTCCAGCGAGCCAGACAGCAGCACAAAGTCTCGGCCGGCTGCGAGGGCGTGCCCAAGCCAAGAGACGAACAGAGCACCAATCTGTGCACCGATCACCAGTGAGTGGTGTTGGCAGGGAGGGGAGAGGGGGAGAGAGGGAGGGAGAGAGACGGATAGAGCACCAACCTCTGCACCGATCACTACTGAGTGGTGCTGTTAGGGAGCGAGAACAAAATAGCAACTGTGGCGATGAACATATTGTGATGCGGAAAGCGGATATATAAACATGTTGTGTTTACGCATTCATAATAGCTACATTTTTCTGTGATAGCAGCGATAGCAGCCAGAGCACTGTTGACTCCCTGCATCTCGATTCTCGAGTGGGAAAAGCCTGGTTGATATCTCTGATAAACGACTTGTTGCGCTGAGTTACAACTGTCATATATCGAGCGTTAACGGCCAGATCCTGCACACAAGCATCCCTTTGGGCGTCCTTTGGCGACGACCTTTGGTTTAATGACGTCATATTTCGTGCTGGGCGGCCGTTATAGTTGTGCTGGGGATCGTATTGTCGTGGTGGTGGTTTCTGATGGCGTATTTCGTGTCCTTTCTTCAGGTGCAAACGTGGCCGGTGCATTCCAAACAAGACGAGCAGCTCCTACAGATGTAGATGCAAACGCGGTTGGAGCGGCAAATACTGTGACAGAGGTAAGTCACTTGTGATGAAGCACGATGTAATGACGGTTATGATGGAATAGCGCTGCCAATCGTTCTTTGTTGCAACAAACACGAATCAGAATGGTGCCGGTTGCAACAGTAAAATACCTTCACTTCACATTGGTTTTCTATTCCGACACCGATGATATAAGCACAGCAGTATCGTATAATTGCCATCTCCTCTCGCCTTTTCCAGCGCCGCGTTGTCGCCGCGAGCAGAGCCGCGACTATATCAGGGAGAACGGCTGCAGGTCGCGCCGGCCCGTGCGCCAGGCACGCTGCGCCGGTAGCTGCGGACGCGACTGCTGCCAGCCGCGCAGAGTTCGTAACCGGCGCGTCAGCTTCGTCTGCAACGACGGCACCCGCTACCGCAAGGTGATCAAGGTGGCGCGCAAGTGCCGCTGCCGGCGCCGCAAGAAGTGCGGCGTATAGAGTGCATCGCGTCTGTCGTACTGCGAACGGCTCTGGTCGACCGGCCGAGGGGACCGGTGAGAGAACGTCATGAGGAAGTATCTCTGACTGTTGGGACAGGCAGACTATGACGACCTGGCCTGACCTGGTATTCAGGTCACGAGGCCTGACTGGAGCGGTGTTTCGACCTGGGGGTCGCCACCACGGCTTGGTCGGGCTGTCCATCGTCGGCCAACTGGCTCGACCTGACGGTGCGGTCACGACCTGGCCTGACCCGGAACAAGGTCGTGACCTGACGTGACCAGTCGGTCGGCCGTTCGGCGGCCGCATAGCCGCGCCACATGATATTAATTCTCCTCTATCTGTCCCCAGTTGTTTCCCGTTCTCCGTCAGTGTTGAGTGTGCGAGCGGCACGCGCCGCCATCTTGTCGTGTGCCAAATCCGGAGCAACTGAGGCCATTGTTCAAATGCGGCATATTTGTCGACGGCGCCTGTACGCCCTAGAGGCGTCCCACAGGCGCCCCCGACCCGCGACCACGCGCCCCGAGCTATTGTGTTTGCAATTTTCAGCTTTAAGCTCGTTGCCGTAATTATTCGTCGAGAAATGATGAGCCGTATGACGCCGATTCGGAATTTCCCATTTTAAAACCAGGGGCTGTTTCAGCGTTTTATTACGAGGGTTCGTCATTGCCGTCTTGTTTTTGGCGTATTTTTCACGCATGCATGGGAGACTGCGGAGAAAATGGTTATTGTTTTCCTGAAACATTATCAGGCAGCTGGATTTATTCGGACCGCTCCGGAGAGTGGTCGCTCGGCCGCGCCTATCGTCGTCATGTTGAGAGAACAGGTTATGTATACGTCAGCCGTGTATGGGCCGGGGGCAGGCAGCCGCCCCACCGGCGAATCTCCGCCCTGTGCTACCCAGGCGCAGCTATCGCTGGGGAGAGGAGAGGCGCTCCCCGGAGCGACCAGGGCAGAGGGGCGGGGAATCCGCCAGCCCGCCGCGCGGTGCGCCAGTCTGTACAGATGCGGCGATACTGGCTAACCGTGTTTTTATATTTAATGTTCCGGGCGGGCCTGCCGGGGCGCATGTTTCGCCCGCCGGCCGCACCGCGGTGCCACAGTCGGTGTAGTCAACAACTGTATGTATTTTAGCTGTAGCTGTAATAAAATACTCGTGTGAATGTCGAGTGTGGACTCCGCGATAGGGTTCACTTCTCATGGAGACCATATGCAAAGTTGCAATGATATACAGCTTTGTATATTCTAGCAGACATCTTGTTAAATATACGCTCAGTGGAAGGCACGATCTAGACACAGTGCAATCATCACAGTCGAGTTAGCGAGCGGGGAACGTTATAAAAATAAGCGCTGTTCAAAATTAGTAACAGACAAGTCAATGCGCTAGAAAAAAAAAAACATTTCTCATTTGGCACCGCCACAATGAGTAGCGATGTGCTGATTCCCAGGATCAGGTACAGAACACTTACGATCAAATTGGCAATAATTGCAATGTGATGGAAGACGACATAGGACCATCGCCACCTACCATCAAGCGACGAACAGCTATGAGAGCAGTTAACAAGCATCAGGAGCTGAAATAACTACACGTTAGATAGGCCGCTCTAAGAAATATTTTTTTAATCATTTAACAGCACAGGAGACACATGAATTGGTCCTATAAAAAGTGTGTCGTTCTCTAAAAAGAGGTCCATATCATCAGCTCCGCAATCCAGCGTCAGTGCTACCTGACCCGCCAGTTGTTTCCATGTCACACTCCCGGCTGTTTCGAGTCCAGTTTCACCACCAGACGGGCCTCGGCGCCCCGCTGAGCGGTCGGGTCCCCCTCCACCCTCACCTCACACCGCGCTGACCGCGGGAAACACATCCCGGCCGGAGAGCACAGGAAGAGCCGCAGCTGGAGAGACAGCAGCGTCACCTGGCCGGCCTGCAGCGACGGTGCCGTTACTTGGAGTGAGAGGGGGCCGGGCGGCACGCTGCCGCTGGTGGACGGAGCCGTCCAGCCGGTCGCTGAGGAGGAGAGAGCGACGAACGGTCAGAGGAGAACATAGGGGGATTTTTCTGGGACAAAAAGACAGACCAGAAGATCCCCATAGTTGGAAAATATGACATTTTATTAGCCTAATGCCCATAGAAAAAACAACAACACAAAGAACTATGCATTTTGTAACAACAAGTTGGATGCAGCCTATTACCGGCTTACTACACAGTTAAAACGCTGATAAAGAAGGATACAGAATAACATCGACAATATAAAACATTAGAAAAGATACGGATTTAAAAATCATACTCACGTAGTTGGTCCAGCTTCCAGCTGTGCGGGGCGCCGTCGGTGAGCGACACGTCAGTCAGTAGTAGCTCGAGCCGAACAGAGATGTCGCCACCGGCTGATCGGACCGAGACCGAGGCCTCGGCGGCCGTCGGCGGGACCGCGCGGTCCGGTGAGTCGCGCGCCATTTGGACGGCCAGCTGGAGTCAGCGGGTGTTACGTCGTATGGTGGTGGGATGGAACCGATTGCACTTTAAAATTGTTGTTGGAAGACCAAAAACGGCCAATTCATGAAAATGCATGAAAATTGAGGAGGAAATACCTGAACATGAATGCTGGGACGGAAAACTTCCGTCAAGATGCACAGGAAATGGGACGTTATTACATGACCTTATTGCGCTCTCAGAATAACTTTGAGGTTTTGAGGTAGACCAAAATAATGCTAAGCTGACAATAAATTAATTGAAAAATATATTTTGTCATATATTTTGCTGGTTGCACGCGTCGTTTAGCTATGTCATTGCCGCCATTCGGAAAATCTGCACATTAAAATAGAGATCCTTTCGAAATCAATGCCATCTCTGGCAAGGTCGCATAGCTATTGCCATTTGCTACCGAACAAAAGGTGTGCGCACCCACTCGTGTACGCTTCTCTACGCTTTAAGCCGATGCCGAGGAATTATTCAATGAATTGTGAGGTCTACAAAAGCAAAGGGCGGTGGTGAGCTTAACTGGAACCACGTGAATCGTGTTCCAGTGCCGTCTTTGGGCCGCGGGAGGCGTCCCTTCGGCTAAACTTCCTAAACCACGGCTTGAAATGCGCTTGATGGTGAGGGGTAATTTCACTCTTATTACTGCATGTCCAAGTCAATGAATGTCCAAGTCAAGTAAATTCATCGAAATATCCAAATTCGGGAATGCGGCTCGAAAATACAACATACCGAATGCCTATGACTCTGCAGAATTCAATCATTCGAAATAGGACAGCGTTAATTTCCCCATGACGATCATGATAAAGAAGGTTCCTAAATATGATCACGGTCATAGATACTAAATATGATTTACGACGATCCTAGCAAAATCAACGATTCATTAAATCAGCCCTTTACCAGCCCAAATGCACCGGATCTGCTGAAAGTAGCACCACGCAGTAGCCAGCACCGAGACTGGACTTACCCTTTCGACGGCGCCGGTGGTGAGGTCTACCCGTTTGATGCAGTGGTTGTTGGTATCAGCTACCAAGAGCACATCTCCAGACGAATCGACCATCAGACCACCAGGCTCGTTAAACTGGAGAAACAACCATGTCAGATATTAGACAAAAACAAATGAAACAAAATGAACACAGTCGTTGAAGATAGCAACGTCATAAATTTTCATATTTACAGTTACGTCGAGTGGGAAATAAAGGCAAAGCAACAAGTAATCTAACAACCAACCAACTACAAAACAACCAAAACATACAGCAAAACGAGAAGACAGATGAATGAATACAACAATAAGCGAACCGGACGCCGTACTGTACTCACCCTAGCGTCGGCGATCGGCCCGACCTCGTCCCCTCGCTCCCCACCGGACACGGTGACACAGCTGAACTTCTTGCCCTCTTGCGTCACCCGCTTCAGCTTGTGGTTGTACGTGTCGGCCACGTACAGAGCCGAGTCCTTGGCGCTCCAGGCCACGCCTAGAGGATGCTGAAGGAGCACCGCGCCGCCGGCAATAGCAGAGTCCGCGTCACCGTACTCAAACAGGTTCTGGGGAGAGAGGCGGTGTTTGGTGAACGGTGGGCGGTGCTGGGAGATGGGGGTGGCGAGGAACGATATACATAACCACAGACTTCTCTATATAGCATAGCGTGCCGTACACCGATATACAGCTAAGTCAATGAAATGTGAATTACGCACTACGCAGCGGCCTTTGTGTAACACTGTCATTGCCAGCAAGCAGGCGCAGCTCCATGGATAGGCTCCATGAGGTGCAATCAACAGGATAAACTGTTGGGTCTTACCGGAACTACTGAACCGTAAACGTATTTTGTTTTGTTTATAAGGTCGTTGCATTTCACCGAAGCAAACCTAGCCCGATCTCCTTCAATTGCTACCGCTAGATGGCAGGGATACCGCACGCCTGCAGGTAGGCTGTACCGCATATCCCGGTCTAGTTTGAACCCTATCGCTAGATGGCAGGAGTGGTGTGCGCCTGAAGGTAGGCTGTACCGCATCGTCCGGTCCACTTCAATTTCTACCGCTAGATGGCACTGTTACCGCACGCCTGCAGGTAGGCTGTGCCGCACATCCCGAACTAGTTTAAATCCTACCGCTAGATGGCAGTAAAAAAGACACGCCTGAACGTAGACTGTACCGCATGACACGTAGTTTTTATATTTACTCACTAGGTGACGCTAGGGTCAAGCGCCTGGTTATATGTACTGTGCCGCATTACAGGTCTCGCGGGTTTTAGCTGCAGGATTTGCACCTATGAAATTTAGTATACCTCAGGCTACATCTAGGTCGTCTTAAGCTTTTGAATGTTGAAGATGCGATAGACTTGTTCGTTCACAAGCCTGCCATGATCGTTTAAAATGGCTTCATAGTAGATCGATTAGTTTCTGAGATATAACCGGAAATGTTAAAGGGCAAAACCTACCGCTTAATCTCGCGAGAACCGTAAATATAGTCCACCGTTCCGTGCTTCTATCCTCAGGAAACTGAAATCCTTCTCCTCCACGCCGCAACCCCCCTCCGGGCTGGACAGGCAACTTTATCCCATGCGGGCTGCTCCCTTAGAGCGGCACCGCTGCTCCCGAGGGAGCGCACCCCGTAGCCGGGTGCAGTGAGTACCTTGGGGCTGGTTGGCCTGTCCTCTGGACGGGCTCAGCCCCGGTGACTCACTAGGGTGCCTGCCCAGACCAATGTCTCCCCCTATATCCTATCATCCTCCCGGCTCTGAAATGGTCTTAAAGGTAAATTGTCAGCTAAAATACAAAAATTTGATATTTGGTAGAATCAGCACTCCACTTTACGAAACTGAAATCAGATTTTCGAAATTCGGTCTGAGTCACGAGTAATTTAATGTTGAAATTGGGATTTCACCTACTTTTTGTACCTACTATTTTTACGTTAAAACCCACCAGATTCCTCAACTATCACTATAACCGAAGGTTTGTTGTCAATAGTTAAAACACTATTCTTTAGAATTGTGTTTTTCTATTGAAAAACAAATCTGAGTTCCCTGACAATTTGGCAAAAGCTGCCTGAGATCAGTATTTGAATCGCGTGAAATCGGAGCTTCTCTACGAAACTTCTAATCAAAAGTTGATTTACGATTTTGCCGAATATCAACATAATAATATCATACTAGGTTATGAAAATTTTGAATGTATTACCAGTTAAATTATTTTCAAAAACCATTGGCGTTTCGCATTTTCCATTTTGCAAAAAGAAAGCAGAAATCGATTCGCCAATGCTCAGGCTTTGGACAAGCTTTGGAGATTAGTAAACATTAGTACACTCGGGGGCAGATTGATGTTCTACAACTCTTTATCCACCGAGTTCCTATGGCTCAGCATTGGCAGCAGCCGCCTGGTACCGGTAGACTGTGCCGCTTCACTTACTTGTCAAGCGGCACAGCCTACCCACACTGTATGACACCGTTCTAGGTCGGTGGCTGGAAGGCGATGTGGGCCGCAGTGTGACGTCAGCGCAGTGGTGAGGGCCGAGCCCGGAGGCATGGCTCGGGTCGGCGCGGCGCGGCGGCTGGCGAGGGCTGGGGAGTGAGACGGGGTGGGAGTATGGACCATCGCGCGGTTGAGCGAGTGTAGTTAACTTTCGCGTCTCAAGGCGCCAATTATTCTACCGAACAATTGCGCTAAAACAGTTGTTAAAATGCCCTATG